CAGCGGATTTCTCAAAAGAGACCTTCCAGGCAAGAAGGGGCTGGAAAGAGGTATTCCAAGTCATGAAATCCAAAGACCTACATCCAAGATTGATCTATCCAGCAAAGCTTTCATTTAGAATGGAAGAGCAGATAAAGTGCTTCTCAGATAAGATCAAATTCAAGGAGTTCATCATCACTAGGCCCTTATTATATGAAATGTTAAAGGGACTTACCTAAGAAAAAGGAGATAAAAAAGATGAACAGTGAAAGGACAAGAAACTCACAGTTATGAACAACCACACCTAAAACGAAAGCAAACTAAAAGGACAGCTAGATCAGGAGCAAACCATAGAAATGAAGATCACATGGAGGGTTAGCAACAGGGGAGTGGGAGAAGGAGAAGGGGGGAGAAGGTACAGAGAATAAGTAGCATAAACGGTAGGTAGAAAATAGGGGGAGGGCAAGAATAGTAGGGGAAATATGGAAGCTAAAGAACTTGAGACACGTGGTCATAAACCAAAGGGGGGAATGGTGGAGGAGGGGGTGTGCAGGGTGAAGGGGAATGAAGGGGGGAAATAGAACAACTGTAATGGCACAATTAATAAAATATATTTAAAATAGCTAGTTATTTAAAATAATTCATTTTCTGTTTATTGCCTGTGTGTAGGAACTACTACCCTTTGCAACAACATGGATGGAACTGGAAAGCATTATGCTGAGTGAAATAAGCCAGGCGGTGAAAGACAAATACCATATGGTCTCACCTTTAACAGGAAGCTAAACAACAAAACAGACAAGCAAGCAAAATAAAAACAAAGACACTGAAATAGAGAACAGGGGGACAGCGAGCAGAGGGGAGAGGGGAGGGAATTTAAGGGAAAAAATGGGAGGGATTTAGAGAAACAAGTATAAAGGACACATGGACAAAAACTAAGGGGGTGGAAATGGGAGGGAGGTGGGGTGCATGGGGCAGGGTGGGCTGGGATGGGAGAAATAAACAAAACTGTACTTGAAAAATAACTAAATAAAAAATTAAAAAAAAAAACGAGTGACTCATTTATTGATGGTGTCCAGTAACTTTGCTAAACTTTATGAATTTTTACTAACTTCTCTGTAGATTCTTCTGGGTTTTTTCACTGCCAGGGGCATTGTCCGTGGGTGATGGGGCCCTCCAACCTCGCCGCTCCTGGCTCGCCATCCTGGTGAAGATGGCAGGGCCTCGTCTCAGTGAGAGTGGGCCCCGGGCTGTTTCCGATTTCGGAAAGTAGGACATTTGCTGTGGGTGAGGTTTTGGTGATATTTGTTATCAGATTAAGGAAATTGTCTGCCATTTCTAGTTTGCAAAGACTATTATCATAATTGGGTATTGACATTTATATAAATTCTTTGCATCTCTTAAGATGATAGCCTGATTTTTCTCCCTTAGTATTTTAATGTCGCAAATTACAATGATTGATTCTCTAATGTTGAACCGACTTTGCACTGGAGAAAAGCCAGCTTGGGCGGCACTGGCAGGCTTTGTACACAGCGCTGATTGTCGCCCCTGGGTCCGGGGCTCCCTGTGCGGAGGGTCACCGTCACTTGCGGGCAGTGTCTATGTTTCTCTGGCTGGCTTATGTCATTGAGCACAATGCCCTCTAGTTCCACCCACGCCATCGCCAACGATAAGATTTCTTCCTTTTTTAGGCCCATCATAAGTGCACCATGCCTTCCTTATCCCCTCATCTGTCGATGGGCACTTGGGCCACTCCCATCACTTGGCAATTGCAGAAAATGCTGCAGTGAACACGGGGTGCGTGTATCCTTTTGAGTCAGTGTTTCGGAAATCTTAGGATAAATCTCCACACGTGGAACCGCTGGGTCATAAGGCAGTTTTCCATTTGTAGTTTTTTGGGGTGTCTTCGTACTGCCTGCCAGAGGGGCTGCACCTGCCTGTGTTCCCAGCAGCAGGCCCGAGGCCTCCCCTTTCTCCTCCCCAGCGCCCCTCCCTTCCTTTCTGGGGGCCCCGCCTCCCCTTTAGCATTTTCTTCCACCATTACTTTCCGGGTGTGTCTGTCAGCGACCAGTTCCCCCAGTTCTCCTTCGATAGAGGGCGGAGGGTCTTTGTCCCCTCCCTCGCTGTGGGGCAGTTTCCCGACCCAGGACTGCGGCTCCACAGGTCCTCCTGTCACTCGAGCCCGTGTCCCGGCCTCTGGCCCACATGCCGATGAGAGATGTGCAACCCCGCACATGGGTTCTCCTGTATAGATGATGCATCACTGATCTCTGGCTGTTTTTAAGATTTTCCCCCTTTCTTTCTAGTTTTCAAAAGTCTAATTATGATCATTTCAATGTGAATCTCTTTGGGTTTCTCCTGGGTGGGGTCTGCTCGGCTTCCTGAATCTGTAAGTTTGTCTTCCACCACATTTGGGAAGTTCGATGGCATCTTTTTTTTTTCAGATTCTTTTTCAGCTCCACAGTCTTCTCCGCCCCAGCGACAGACCACCAGACCTTCCATGGCTGTCCCCAAGGCCCCGGCTGCTCTGTGAGCTGTTACAACTTTCTCTGTGTTCACAGTAAGTAAATTCTGTTGGTCCGTCCTCAGGTTCACCGATGATGCCGCCTTTGCCGTTTCCACCGTATGACCGAGTCTGGCCCGTGAATTAAAGCCATTTTCAGGTTTTGTGTGTTCAGTTCTCTGATACCCATTTGGTTCTTTAAAAAACAGTAACAGCTTTATTGAGCTGATTCGCACATATACCACCAAATGCATCCTTCATGGCTGTTTGATGCAGTGTTTTTTAGAGTATTCAGAACTGTGCAGCAACCGCGACTGGCTGACCTCAGACTATTTCAGCGCCTCCAGAGGACCCTCTGTGCTCTCAGCGGTCCCTGTCCACACCTGTCCCCTTCCAGCCCTGGCAGCCGCGAGCCTGCAGCCTGCGTCTTGGATTTGCCCACGGAAATGGAATCATGGTCGTGGTCTTTTGTGTCTCTCACTCGGCTTGATGCTTTCAGGGTTCATGCCATCGTGACCTGTGTCCAAAGCCCGTTCCTTTCAGTGGGCAGACGGCACCCGTGGCATGGATGCACTGCCCATATTTGTCGGTCGATCCCTTGGTGAATGTCTAGGCTGTTTTTTTTTAAAGATTTTATTTATTTCTCTTTAGAGGGGAAGGAGAGAAATATCAATGTATGATTGTCTCTCATGCATCTCTTTCTGGGAACTGGCCTGCAACCCAGGCACGTGCCCTGACTGGGAATCGAACTGTGATCCTCTGGTTCGCAAGACTGTGCTCAATCCACTGAGCCACGCCAGCCAGGGCCGTCTAGGCTTTCTTTGGTTGTTATGGGTGATGCTGCCATGAGCACTTACGAGCAGGTTTTGTGTGGACACGACTGTCCGCTTCTCTCTGCTGTGAACCCAGGGGTAGGAGGGCAGGTGCAGGGCACCCCAGCCCCACCCGCAGTGTGTGGGGACCCCAGGCTCTCCGCATCCTGCCACAGGCCCACTTTATGACTTCTGTGTATTTGCTGCAATTCTTTATTGTGGGGGCAACTTCTCCTCGAGTCCCCCTGGTGCCACGGACACCCATGAATGAGTAAATATGGCCGAGACAAGATGAGATCTGTTTGGGGAGGCGGAGGGGGCTGTGGCCAGTTTCTCAGGGGAGACAAAAGCCAGCAGCAGCCAGTTTCTCCGAGGAGAAAAAGGCTCCGTGTGCCCTCTTCCATAGCCTTTTATTGGGTTGTAACACACAGGAACACAGGGCGGCAAGGATCAAACAGTAGATACCATTACAAAGAAATCTGAGGGCTTCAGAGTCTGAGTCGATGTCAGGAAGAGAGTAGCAGAAACTTCTAGCAAGGCAAGGAGCTGCACCTCCCCCCATCAGGTATTCAGGCTTAAGGGGATGAGAGCTAGAAAGGCCTCGTGGGGACTTGGGCTTTGTCAAAACCCTGGGGGGGTGTGTGTGGGGGGGAGATTTCATTGCTGTTGCAGTCCCCCCCCACCCCTAGTCCTTCCATGAAGGCCTCCCAAGTGATTGAGTCTGGCTTAGGTTGCCCCCCGCTGTGAGGGGTCTTTCTTACCCATCATTGACCTCTGACCAAGCTTTGGGGGCAGGGAGAGGAACTGAGGCAGCGTTTGCTACCAGAGACAAGCTCTGTCTCCTGCGGCTGGCACTCCAAAGGTCGTCCCTCGCCCTTAGCCACAAGGGGTAGAGAGACAATTCCTAAAACCAGGCAGAGCGGTCCACAGCACTTTATTTCTTCCACTGGCTTCAGCAGCCTCTGCCATCTACGGTGCAAACCTCAGTGACTATGCCGCCTTAAAAGGCGCCCCCAGGTCCGGGCATCTCCTGCAGCCCGGCGTCGGCACTGCCGTCTCTGACCCCCAAGGTGATGGCCAGCTTCGGTGAACCAGCTTTGTCTGGTGGGAGACTCGATTTGAGGAGACCCCCTGATTCTTCCAACTCGTTCTGTTCCAGCAGGTGGTCACCCGTTTTGGCCACTCAGGGTGTGGGTTTTGGCCTTCCGTGGACTTCGGGTCCAGTGACAGTTTAGTTTTCACAGCCCTCGCAACGCTGTCCTGGCCGGCCTCACTCTCCCAGAGCTGCAGGGCCCCTGCTCAGTCCCTGCTGGCCCGCAGGGTGTCTGGTGCCACTCTGTCACTGTCTATGGTGGAGGGCATAAGCCACCAGCTTTGGTGTTTGTCATTTTTATTTTTTGCAGAGAGAGAGGAAGGGGCAGAGAGAGAGAGAACACGAACTTGTTTTCCACGTGTTCGTGTGTTTGGTGTTTGATTTCTGAACGCGCCCTGAACGGGGATGGAGTGCGCACCCTTGCAGGTGGGCCAGCCGGGCTTGGCTGGATTTTGGGGCCCACCTGGCTGCTCCAGGCTCTGCAGCGGCAGCCTCATCAGCAGTTTGTCTGCAGGAGCGGAAACCCCAGCCCGGGGTGGGGGGGGGCCCTGCGCACAGTGAGCAGCACTGGGCCGAGGCGCCCATTGGCTGCTCTGCCCGCAGACCAGAGTGGGGCCCCTGGGGTGCTGTGCAGAGGCTCTCTCGGCTCTTGGTCCCGGGAGGCTGTGGGCAGCTTCTGCTTCTGCAGGTTGGACTCCAGCCCGCCACCTCCACCATTGCCCCAGCTGAGTGGCAGGTGCCAGCTGAGGCCCCAGGGGCCATGAGGGCAGCTCTCTGGGCCTTGGGAGTTGGGCCCCTTGTCCTCACTCTCTGGGCAGTCCCCATCGGTAAGTTTCTTCCTTTATCCACTGAACCTTCTGGAAGCAGTGGCTCTGTGGATGCCCAGACCCAGACCCACTGCCTGGGCTTCACTCAGCTCAGGGCTGGGTGGGTCATCCTGGGGCGTCCGAAGTGCAGGAGACTCCTGTCCCAACTCTGAGCAGGGCCCCTACCCCGGAGCTCAGGGCCTGGGGTGCGCTGGGCGAGAGGCTGGATACACTGAGGGGATGTGGCAGCATCTGTCCAGCGACCCTGGCCCACAGTGGGGGCTGGCTACGGAGGGTCCTGGGCTGGGTGGGTGGTGCAGACGCCGGGCAGGTGAGTGGAGGGTGGCCCTGGGGACGGGCTGGGGTGCAAAGCCTGGGGTGACCCGGCTCACCCATGTGGCCGTCCCTATTTTCCTGCACCAGCTCAGGACCGGGGCTCCAGGCGGGAGGGTCAAGGGGCTGCAATGCGATGGGGGTACCAGGGGCTGAGGGGATGATGGGCATCAGAGGCCTGGACAGGGCAGGACTTGGGGGAGCTCCCATGGCCTTGGAGGTGGCCCCAGATGAATTCAGAGGCCATCACCAGGCAGCTCATGCTCCACATCCCCCCAATGGTGCTGGACTGTGTAGCCCCCCTGAGGTCAGCGGTCCCTCCGCAGGCGGGCCGGGCACTCTGAGGCTGGCGAACAGACACAGCCCGTGTGATGGCGTGGTGCTGGTCCAACACGAGGGTCAGTGGGGGCACGTGTGCAACCGGGAGTGGACGCTGGCAGAGGCATCCGTGGTCTGCAGGCAGCTGGGCTGCGGCCAGGCTGTGGGTGCCCCCAAGTACGTCCCGCTGCCCGGAGAGAAGGTGCCGGCCTTGCTCCACAACGTGTCCTGCAGGGGTGGCGAGTCCTCGCTCTTGGAGTGCAGCCTCGGGGCATGGACGCACAGCCCGTGCCCCTACGAGTGGACGGTGGTCGTGCTGTGCTCGAGTAAGTCAGTGCAGGGGTGCGGGCTCTCTGGGTGGTCTCCTTTCAGGCACAGGAGCCGGCCTGGCCCCTAGGATGATCTGGTCTCTCACCGTTCTTCCTTCCTCCTGTGCCAAGGGCCCTTCCATTGTCATCCAGCACTTGTGTCCCTGCGAGGCACTGTGCAGGGGGCTGGGGAAACAACTGTTTGAGTAGCTGGCAAACTGCTGCCATGCAGAGCCGGTTCCCCAGGGACAGACGGAGTGACAAACACAGGCGGAATAGCCGCTGAAGTGAGGAGGAGCAGAAAGCGTACAGGGGGCTGGGGTGGGGCGGGGTGGGCTGGGGACCCACCATAGGGACCCACCCCAGTGTCTTTTGGACACTTGAGGAGGCTTGAGGGGCCACTGTGGCTACCCAATCAGGATTTCCTACTCAAATGACATGGAGGTCTGTCTTGAGGGTCTTCGGCTCTCTGTGGGCTGAGAGCTCCTGCCTCTGAAGTGGACCCTCTGCTTGGGTTGTGGGGGGGCAGGTGCCCTCTTCGAAAATGATTAAAGTTGTCAAGAGTCTGACAGCACACCAGGCATGGGCCCTCTGAGCGAGGGGCCCTTTGCAGTGCTGGGTCAGAAAGCTGCCCCGTCCTCGGAAGACGCGCCCTCAGGCCGGTGCAGAGGCGTGGAGGGAGGAGCAGGGCCTGCCCCAGGGGCTGGGAGCCCTGGTCCTGGGTGGGGGCCTGGCGGAGCTGCTAGGCCTTCATGGAAGTGTCCGGCCGCGGAGGCCGGCTGCAGCCTCCAGGTGACTGAGGGGCCAGCAGCGGGGCACCCTCTGAGTGTGGCCTGTGCTCTGCAGATGGAACTTTTCGGGAGATCCGCCTGGTGAAGGGCCGGAGCCCCTGCTCGGGGCTCCCAGAGATCAGGAACGCGAATGGTGTGGACCGCCTCTGCGGCCTGCACAGGGAGGAGGCCACTGTGTTCTGCCGGGAGCTGGGTTGCGGCCCTGCGCTGCAGGCTTCCCGCCAAGACCAGGGCGGCGGCAAGAAGTACATGACGTGTGAGGGCACCGAGCCGACCATCCGAAACTGCAGGCTCAGCAACCGGCTCCGCAGTGGGTGTGACTTCCAGCAGGACCGGGAGGTGGTGTGCTCAGGTGAGGCGGCCTCCCTGCTGCTCCCTCCTCCTCGCAGGCACCGGACAGGGGACACCAGTGCCACTTGCTGCTTCAGAGGAAATGCAGCAGGTGGCCCTAACCTCTGGTCCTAGGGAAACAGCCAAGGACCCGTGCTCTGTCTGCAGACCAGCTGCCTGGACACAGAGCCTCCCGTGGGACAGGGCGGCTCCGGGCTGAGCCCTTGACCTGAGAGCAGCTCCCTCTCACTGAGGACGAGTCTCTTCCCCCAGGACACACTGAGGCCCGGCTGGTGGGCGGCGAGCACCCCTGTGCCGGACGCCTGGAGGTGCGGCGTGGCCTGACCTGGGGCACTGTCTGCGACGATGACCTGGACCAGGCCATGGCCCACGTGGTGTGTCGGGAGCTGCAGTGTGGCTTGGCTGTGTCCACGCCCCGGGGCGCCCACTTTGGCCGGGGTTCTGGGACCGTGTGGACGGAGGCCTTCCGCTGCGTGGGCAATGAGTCCCTGCTGTTCCACTGCCTTCGGGGGCCCGGGCACCATTGCGGGCACAGCCAGGACGCTGGGCTCAGGTGCTCAGGTGAGGATGGAGGGGGGCCCTGGGGCTCATCCCAGGGGCTCCAGCCGGGCTCGCAAAGGTGCCTCCAGCAGGTGGGGGTGGTGTTCTGTGAGGGGGCGTCACCTCTGAGGATTGAGGGAAGAAGGGACACAGAGAGGGGGGCCTGAGTCTGGCCCGAGAGGAGCGTATGCATACCCCCCGCTGCGCCTGGGCCATGTGGGCCAGCACTGAGCCGTGGTGGGGGTGGCCACCACATGGGGCAGAGGAGGAAATCGCCCCCTGTTGGACCTTCAGGTCAAAGATGGCCTGACACCCCTCCCCCCCACCCCAGAGTTCCGACTGGTCAACGGCAGCAGCCGCTGTGAGGGGCGTGTGGAGCTTCAGGTAGAGGGGACCTGGGCGCCCCTCTGTGCCACCCACTGGGACTTGGCAGATGCCAGTGTCCTCTGCCACCAGCTTAACTGTGGCGGTGTGGTGGCCACACCTGGAGGAGGCCATTTTGGGCACGGGGACGCTCCCATCCGGCCGGACAGGTTCCACTGTGTTGGGACAGAGCCCTACCTATGGAACTGCCCAGTGAGCACCCTGGGGGCCCCCGCCTGTGCCCCAGGAAATGCTGCCACCGTGGTCTGTGCAGGTGGGTCAGGAGGAAGGGAGGAAGAGGGGCAGGAGTGGGGGGGGCTCAGGGGGCAGTGGTGGTCCTCTCCCCTCGCAGTCTGCCCTGCGGAGTCCCACCTCTCTCTAGATCTCCTCCATGCCCTGCGGCTGAGGGACGGCCAGAGCCGCTGTGACGGCCGAGTGGAGGTGTCTCTGGATGGCGTGTGGGGCCGTGTCCTGGACGATGCGTGGGACCTGCAGGGTGCGGGCGTCGTGTGTGAGCAGCTGGGGTGCGGAGAGGCAGAACGAGCCTATGACGCACCGGTGCCAGACCACGGGGCCGGCAGGGTGGGGCTGAGCCGCGCTCGCTGCCTGGGCACGGAGACCCGCCTGACCCAGTGCAACGCATCTGCGCCCCTGCTGGCGTCCGTGGGGGCCTTGCGGGACGTGGGCGTCGTGTGCTCCGGTGAGAGAGGATCCCCGGTTTCCCCATCCGCCCAGGGGGCTGGGTCCGCCCTTACTCCGTCTCTCCGCAGGGAGCCACCAGGTGCGGCTGGTCGCAGGGCCGGGCCGCTGTGCCGGGCGAGTGGAGGTGTTCCACGCTGGTGTGTGGGGCACGGTGTGTGATGACGGCTGGGACCTGCAGGACGCACACGTGGTCTGCCGGCAGCTGGGCTGTGGCCACGCCCTCCGCGCCCTGGGGGCTGCTCACTTTGGGCCGGGGGCTGGGCGCATCTGGGCAGATGAGCTTGGCTGCAGTGGCCATGAGACAGCGCTGTGGCAGTGCCGGTCTCGGGGCTGGGGCCGGCACGACTGCACGCACAAGGAGGATGCGGGCGCCTTCTGCTCAGGTCAGTCGGGGAGCTGCGTCCCTCCCTCCGTAGGGCGGCCGGGTGTCCCAGGTTGCGCTGTCTGTGTGGGTGACACCACGGTGCTCACATCTCCAGGGGTGGAGAGCCCAGGGCAGAGCCCAGTGATGCTGCAGGACAAGCCATCCCTGCCCGTGGGTGCTCTAGGCTCATTTTAGTTACCGGGGACCCCAGCACGTGCAGTGCACACCCAGCTGTCTGCGTGCACCCTGGTCCAGGCGGTGCCGAGGTCTCCCAGGCCCTCGGAGCACAGGTCCGAAGGACCATCTAACACTCCGACAGGTGGCTGTTTTCGGTCCCGCACTGCGTCCCCCGTTGGAGCCCCGCTGGTCATGGGGCCCAGGCAGTCGGCGGACACCCGCCAGCCTGCACTGGTGCCGTGTCTGAATGTGGCACTGTGGGCTAATTCCTTTATAAAAACTTTAAAAAAATTGTAACCATTGCTAAGTTGATCGTCTTAGGCAAATAGATTCTTCTGTATTTGCAGTTGTTTCCAGGATGGCTTTCCAGACACCCAGCTGGTTCACGGCCCGGCCATCCCTGGGGTGAACCCTGGCTGTTTGTGGGGGTGCCCAGGCCTCCCGGTCCGGCCCTGAGTCCCTCCGTCTCAGCCACGGCCCCTCTTCCTCCAGTCACTCCCCCAGCTCGACCCCGTTTGTCTTCCAGGGTCAGTGGCCCTGAGACTGCGGGGCGGCGCCCAGCTCTGTGCTGGGTGGTTGGACGTGTTCTACAACGGTTCGTGGGGCGCAGTGTGCAGCAACGCCCTGAGGGACGCCTCCCTGGCCGTGGTCTGCCAGCAGCTGGGCTGTGGGGACCAGGGCTGGCTGGAGAACAAGCCGGTCCTCGCTGACTTAGGCGTCTCCTGGGTGGACGGCATCGACTGCCGCAGGCTGCGGAGCTCCACGCTGTGGCAGTGCCCCTCCGCCCCGTGGGACCCGCACTCCTGCGACCGCGGAGAGGAGGCCTGGGTCACCTGTTCAGGTGGGCCCTGTGGTCCGGGGGTGGGGGTGGAGGGGCTGGAATGCCTGGGCCCCTGCCCTGTGTGCTCAGGGGCAACCCATGGCGGGGCCTGGGGTCTCTTGGGCTCCACAAGCTTCCTTTTGAAGCTTTTCAGGGCATTCGCTCCTTAACCCACCAGGATCATCCAAGGAAACGAGTCAGGACTTCGGGGAGACCCTCAACTGCCCTCCCACCGGCAGCTGCCCAGGGACGCTTCTGTCCACGGTTCGCTCCGCAACGCAGTCCCGCCCTGCGGTGACCACGCCCCCTCTTGCGGAGGAGGACGCGGTGCGCGTGCGCGGGGGCGAGGACCGCTGCTCCGGCCGCGTGGAGCTCTGGCTCACAGGCTCCTGGGGCACCGTGTGCGATGACTCCTGGGACCTGGCAGACGCGGAGGTCGTGTGCCGCCAGCTGGGCTGCGGTGGGGCCGTCAGCGCCCTGGCAGGGGCTGCCTTCGGTCCAGGCTCAGGGCCCGTGTGGCTGGACGAGGTGGGCTGCCGTGGCAGCGAGGCATCCCTGTGGGACTGCCCGGCGGAGCCCTGGGGACACGCGGACTGCGGGCACAAGGAGGATGCGGGCGTGCGCTGCTCGGGTGAGTGGGCAGGAGGTGAGGGGGTTGCTGGGGGCTGGGGAGGGGGGATCAGGAGGGTTCCTCTGGAGTGTCCACCTTCTGTGGGCGCCCCCCAGGCCCAGCCTGAGGCTGCTCCATGCCCAGGTTCCTCTGGGTGGGGGGCATAAGCTGCCCCATGGGTGTCGGATGGTGGGACAGGATCGGGCTGATGGGCCGGGACGCTGCTCCGAGGATCTGGGCTGCTCAGGGCTATGGCCGCCTGTTCTCCTCACGCCCAGATTCGGCTCCTTTGTCCTGCAGGTGACAGCGGGGCCACGGTTCGGCCGCCAGCATTGGGTAGGTGGGCTCTTCCTCAGGCCTCGGTCCACGTGTTCCTGTCTGGCTCTGACCCAGAGGAGCCCTGCAGGGGGGTGGCATGGAGGCCAGTGCAGGGGTGGGGGCCGAGGCCAGTGAGAGCAGGACTGCCATTCGGAGACGCCCGTTCTCGGAGGGACACTTGCCATCTGTCCTCATGCCAGCCCGAGGTGCAGAGCCCGAGGGAGGGACAGCAGGCCTGTTGCTTCTTTGAGGCCTTTCCCTGGGCAACAGGGGATTTGGCCCCGGGACACTGTGGCTTCTTGGACACTGTATCCAAGGCGGAGTGAGGGCAGTGGGCTCCCTCCTGTCCCCTCCCTGCTGTGCCCCTCACCTTCGCCCTCAGCCAGCTGACCTTTGGGCCAGCTCTAGGGGTGCAGCACAAGGCCCCTCCCCCTCCTAGAGGTTCAGGGCCCAGGTCACAATCCCCCCCCCCGGCATGCAGGCAGGCATTGAGGGAGGACCCGCCTCTCACTGTCCCTCCAGGCCCTCCCCTGACCCCACTACCTGCCCTCAAGGCTGGGACACTGCCCATGACCTTCTGCATCATCCTGGGCACCCTCCTGGGCATCGTCTCCCTGCTGCTGGGGGCGCAGTGGTGCCACAGAGCAACCTGCAGGGGTAGGTGGTGGGCAAGGCTGGTGAGGGTGGCCTGGGTCCTGGGGATGGGGAGAGATGCACTTGGAGACCCTGGCCCTCTACAGGCCCTCTGTCCTGGTCCCTGCCGTGCGTGCCGAGTCCCACCCAGACTCACAACTGGTGGGGGACAGGGGGTCCTGGGCCCTGCTGTGCTTCTGAGAGGGTCTGGATGAGAGGATTCATAGTTCTGGGGATGCCTTGGTGGGGGGAAAGCCTCGAGGGTCCCCATTCCTTGTCATTTGTGGTGCTGGGGAGCTCTGAGCCATACTCTGGGGCCAGCATACCTGGTCCTGGGTGCTCGGGGAAGCGTGCCCCCTGGGGGGGATGTGTGTCCTGGTGGGGAACAGAGGCTCCTGGCTGGCCTGGGAGACCCCACAGGGCCCAGCAGTGTGGGCGTAGGCAGAGGGAGCTTCAGAACTGAGGTTCTGGTGTGGCCTTTGCAGGTTCTGGAATGTTGGAGAACCTGCCGTCAGAAGGTGTTTATGAGGACATCGGAGCTGTCCCCATGGGGGAGGAGGTCGAGGGGCCCAGTGTGCCCCGGGACCTGGCGCTGGAGGAGGACTATGACGATGTCCGGGAGCCTCAGCATGGCCTCGAGGAGGAGGAGGAGGAGGAGGAGGAGGAGGAGGAGGAGCAGGAGGAGGGGGCGCCCCTGAGCGTGGCGGGTGCGCCCCTGTGCTCCCTGCTGTCCTTTGCGCTGGCCCTGCTGTACTGCACCTACGTCCGGGGCTCTGCTCTGGGCAGTGTCTACATTTAAAGACCCTGAGAGCCCCTCTGTGTGTGTCTAGAACCCTCACTCCCATCCCTGGCTTGCGTGTTGATCCTCACTGTCCCTTCTGCGTGGCTTGCGACAGTGGAGTTTAGGGGGACCGTAGCTGTTATTTGGGTTTCTGTCATTGGTACAGAGTCTGGTCAGCTTCATGGGGGGCCTGGGCAGGTGGTGGGAGGGGCACGGTGTGACGCCACTTCACTAACCCCCAGCTCACTGTCCAGCCCTGGTGCAGCCCTCTGGCTTTGGGGTGTGCAGACAGTCCAGGGCCCAGAAACCCTGGGGAGGGGCCTGAGGACCTGCTGAGGGCCCAACGCTTGTCTCTCTCCTTGAACACAGGTGGGCGGGCTCCTTGCAGCCTGGGTGCCAGAGCTCGGGCTGCAGCGGAAGACTGCTCTGGCCCCTGCCGCAGAGTGTGGTGACCGTGAGCTGGCCATGGGGGGGCGCCAGCGAGACTCTCGGACTTTCACTTTCCTCATTTCTAAACAGGATGTCATTAAACTCCCTGTGAGCGTCTTCGTTCATCCATTAATTCATCTCAGAACCCACCATGGCCCAGGTCCTGTTTCTGGGCCCCTCTCTGCCCCACCCTGGTCTGATGTGGCTGCTGAGCGTCTCACCTGACCTCACCTGCAGCCTCTCGTCCGGGTGCGGGGTGGGCTCCCTGTGCACCGATTCTCGGCCACCCTCCCTTCATGGGCAGACAGCCCTCCCCCTGGCTCAGGTCTTGTGCCCAAATCCCCAACACTCACGCTACCCTGCGCAGATGACCCCACCAAGCCCTTTGTGGCTGCCCCTTCCTGACCACAGCCCCTCTGGGGAGGTTTCTCTGCATCCTCTTGGCTGGGTCGCTCTGGGCAGCTTTGTGCGTGACCACACCCGTGCATGTTTAAGTCTCCCTTGCCGCCCCTCTTCCTAGTCAGCATCCTGGGGACACCGGGCCCAACTGTCCTGTGAGCCCCTCGTTGACAGGGCCTCCCAGTGATGCAGTGACTGCCACTCACCTCTCCGTGCACCATTCCTGGTCTTGCCAGCCTGCTGGGGGCTCTTGGAGCACTGCCTCCTCCCGCCCCGCCCTTTCCCTGTGCCCACCCTCTGGGTGTAGAGAGGCGCAGCTGGCAGCCTCGAGAACGATTGTGCCCAGTGGAGGGACCGAGAGGAGCCCCGACGAAAGAGATGCGGTGTCGTCCAGTGAGGCTGCACATCAGCCCCCGACAGTCTGGGGGGATAAGAACGGGTGTCCTGGATGGATCATTGACCACACACAGCAGCCCCACTGTGGCCTCAGGAGGTGGCCCTTCTGGCTTGCAGATAATGCTGGATGTCCCTGAGGCTCACGCTGGGGGCATGGCAAGGAGCTCGGTTCTGGAGGGGCTGGAGCCGTGGCACGTGGGGCCGGCCAGCAGGGCCCTCTCTGGAAATCCATGCTGTCCTGGAGGCCCGAGCTGCCCTCTTAGACAGGTTCTCTGGCAAACCTTTTAGAAAGTGAGTTTCACGGACATTATTCTGATTAGAAAAAACACACGTTACTGTAGATTTGGAAACTCGTAAGACCAAGAGAGCAAATGAAAACCACTTCCGCCTCAGAAGGGGCCACCCTCCCGTTGGGGTCCTGCCTGTGGAGGCCTCCCCTGCAGTCAGAGGTGCAGATGCCCGAGTCGTAGCCACGTCCCAGGCTGCGCCGCGCTCCCGGTGCTTTTCCCACCGAGAACCCGCAGCAGGCGTGCCCTGGTCCAGGCTGTTGTCTCAGACCCTTCCGCCAGTTACTTGTCCCTTCTGGTGGGCGTCCGGCCGCGCACAGAGAGAGGCGTTTGCCGCCTTTGCTGCTGCTGGTCACGGGCCATGTGCATTTTTAATGTTTTTGGTCAAACTGCTGTGTTCTTTCATGACACACTAGAGTGATCCTTGTTCGTCTACACCTTCTGTGCGGGGCAGAGAAAGCTGAGTGCCCCACGGAGCCTACCCTGACTGCTTGTGGTCGCTTGTCCATGAGTCTCCCGCCTGGGTCTGCAGGAAGCCCAGCCCAGGCTGCGCCGCAGGGGCAGCCCACCTGCCCCCTTCTGTGTGGGCTCAGGCCTAGGTGAGGGTGGGGAGTTGCTCTGGCCCGCAGAGCAGTCGACTGGAGCTCGACCACCTACCTAGAATAAATGGGTTGGGGGGACAAGAGACGCATGAAGAATGGCAGCAAGACAAAAGATTCTGATCAAGCTGCAAACTTTATTTTTCCGAACTGGGTATATATATAGGGGAGGAGGGAGAGGAAGGAGATTAGGTTGCTTGCTATTGGCTAGCTTGAGACAAAGGAGGGTCCGCTTATTGGTTACTTGGGTGTAACTTGTACTCGTGGACCACTGTTCTTTGGGCGCATGCACACCTCATGTGCCTGTAGCGGATTGGCTTGTGGAGCGCATGCACACGGGGGGCTAGCCGGAGGTTGTTTTGAAAGTCCTTGTTGATTACAGGTTCCTGTAATCAATGCAATGTTTTTAGCTAAAAGCCAGGTGCAAGGTTCCCAACAGGGAGTCCCCACTCCGTGTGGCAGGTGACAACTCTCATACGCTGGGGAGGGGATGGGGCCCCCTGCTTCCTTCTCAGAAGGCTCGGCACTGAGCTGAAGTCTGCCTCCCACGTTTGGCAGACACAGTTGCCTGGACCCGGGGAGCACCATGGCACAGGTGACCAGGGATGCCATTGTCCCCTGAGCCTGTGGCCCCCCTCCTGGCTTGTTGGACCCTCTCTGCAGGTGAGTGCCACTGTGCTGAGCGTTCCACCTTCCCCACCATTTGCCACTGGTGCCCTTCTGGCTGTTGCCCTGGTGCTGAATCCCAGAGCTGGTGGGTCTGTGTGAGTGCTAAGTCTGTCATGGGCCCTTTAAGAGGACACAGATTCTTCCCCTGCCCCAACCCCCACTGGTTTTTACAGCCAGAAGTTATGGGGACTTATCTTCCTGCTCTGGAACCCTGGGCTGGGTGCTCTGGCCTGGGGCAAAAATCCCTCCCGGTTTTTTATCTACGACAGTGGGCGTGGGGCTGCCCAGACTGGTCTCTGTCCCTCCTACCCGTCTGAACGAGTGTGGCTTTTTAGAACCCTTGGTGGTCAGATTTCCACACAGCACACTTTTCTGACAATTCTGGGTGAGATTTGTTTGTAGTCTAGTTTTTGTTTTTTTTTTTGCTATAACTGTGTGTGGAGGTAAGGTTTGTTCACCTACCTCTCCATCTTGACCGGAAGTCCTGTTCTCTTGATTTCCTTTGGGATTGTTTATTGCCAGTATGTAGAAATACAAGGAATTTTTGTGTGTTGACCTTGACTCTCCTGCCCGTATTAGCTTTAATAGCCCCACATGGATTCTGCGAGAATCCATGGAGAATCCGTGGATCAGGTCTCTGCGAGGGTCACTTCTTCCTTCTGGGTGCAGGCCCCTTACGTCTTCTCTTGCGGAGAATTGGCTTTTGTAGCGCAGGCAGCTGGACCTGCATTTGGTCACAAGGTCATCAGAACCGAGGCAAGTCTGAGAAGCTGTCAGCCAGCAGGCCCCGAAGTGTCGTGTGCTGTCCTAGATGGGACCACGAGGCAGAAAAAGGGCAGTGGGAAAATCTGAGGCCATCTGAATAAACTGTGGACTTCAGGTAATAACATATCAAAATTCATTCATTAATAATGACAAATACCCCACACACGGATATCAGGTGTCAGTGATAAGGGAACCGGAGTGTGATCTCAGGAACTCTCAATGCAGGTGGTCTCTTCAGTTCTCATGCACGGTTAGAAACGTTCTGGAAGACAGTCTGTTTACATGAACCCCATCTTCCCTGCAGGGTGGGGTGTGCAGGGCTCTTGTCTGAGGTCCGTCTGGGCAGAGACCTTGGCAGACCGGTGGTCCATCAGCGCATGCTGTCCCCGCACCCCAGGCACCCGCCCTTCTCTGTGCCTTCGTGATGCTGGCTGTGCTCTGCCTGGGGCCTGCACCCGCAGGGGTTCTCTCACCTTCGGGTGGGTGTCCCTGCTCCCCGCACCCAGTGCCCTGCCAAGGGGGCTGACCGGCCTTAAAGGCCAGCAGCAAACGCAGGCCGCCAACCTGGGAAAGACTGTTCAGGTCGCATCTTGCTCTCCGCCAGAGCGAGCGTTTCCTGTCTTCTCATGAAGATGTGAGTCTCATATTCAGACAGAGACGGTGGGGCGCACCCACACATGCAGGGGGCGCCGTTCCCAGCCCTGCCTTTTGGACAACCTCGAATTTGGTTCTTGATGTTTCCGAAAAGACGGATCTGTCTCTGCCCTGACCTGTTTTGTTGTGGAGAAAGCGACGCTGAAAGCGCTGTGCTGTCTTTTGCTTCAGTGAGAAACAGTGGCGCGTAGGCTTGTCTCTGACCCATCTGAGCCACAGATCAGTGGGGGGGGGGCACTCGGCAATGTGGTTTGGTCTCTGAGTAGGTCAGGTTCTTTAAGAGAGGCTGGGCCCACAGGGAGTGTGCACCTGAGCAGGCCCTGTCCTGCCCCGGAGGCCTGGGTGGTCTGAGATGGGTCCAGGAGGGGTGTGCAAGGCCATAGGGGGAGTTGTAACATCCTGGGAGGGGGTTGGCGATGTCAGCCGGAGTCATGGGGCTGCACAGAGCTGAGTCTGTGCCTTTGTCCCCTGGAACCCAGCGCCTGGCCCAGCCTGACCCTTGTGGAGGGGATGAGCTTCCCGTCTCGGCCCAGAGCTGAGGACGGGTTGGAACCAGGCTGATTCACACTCCTCCGGCCTCTCGGGAGCCTGCCCTCCCCGAGGGAGTGACCTGGAGCGGGCCAGGCCGGACTGGGCAGCTGTGGCCGAGGAAGCCTGCCCCCAAAGTGCAGGAGCCCCTGGTGCCCAGCCATGTCCAGGCTGTGCCCCCAGCTGCTCGCTGACCCCCCCACCTGCAGACCCCGTTCTCCCCTTGAGGGCCCATCTTGCAGCCCCCATAGTGAAAATTCCGTCCTGTGCTTCGGCTCAGTCCCAGCGGTGGGGTTTTTCTGGGCATCTGGAGTGCTGGGTCTGGCTTGCGATGCCGCCGCAGTGAGCGTCCACGTCTCTGCAAATGCAGGGAACGTTCACGGTCACAGTGAGGGAAGGCCCGCCCTGTGCCTTCTGTGTCCCTCAGGGGTCCGACTACAGACTGCCATGGGGGGCATCTGCTGGGCCAGCCTCACAGGGCCCTGGGCTCCAGCATCTCCTCTCGGCCAAGCTGCTGCTGCCCAGGACGGGGCCCGTGGGTGCCGTGGCCAGCTGCAGGCCCCGGACCCTGGAGCGTGGATGGGCGTCTCTGCGGTCAGCACTCTGTGCCCACGGGCAGCCCAGTCCCACGACCTGGGCGACGTTGCGCTCGACTTTGCAGACGTTTGTGTTGCAGCTGCCGGCTTCCCGCTGACCCTGGTTTCTCGAGGCTGCCCAGGCCCTTCTCTGCCTGCTCCTCCCACCTCCTGGTCGTCAGCTTGTACCGCTTAGCTTGGCTGTGCGCCCACGCCAGCCTGGCAGCTCACTACGCCCCGAGAGAGGCAGAGTGCCCAGGGTGAGGAACGGGCGGAGGCCCACCCCTCACGCCCTCACCCTGCACCTCCTCATCTACTCTCTGAGGAGGGGGGGGGTCAAGCATGTCCTGCAGATACCCATCTCCCTCTCCAGGTGTCTTAGGGTGCGCCAGCCCCTCCTCCAGCCTTGGCTCCCTTTCAGGCATTGCCCTCTGCAGTGGGTGTGGCCACGTGGGTTGGCTCACCCGAGCCGTGTGGCCCCGTGTGCACACCAACATCACAGCTACAGAGCTGTGGCCCCAGGCCCTAGTGGGTGCTCTGCTCGCATCATCCCCAGGCGACCCTCAAGACTCACTTAAAACTGCCCCAAAGCCTCTCTGGACCCTGCTGTCACCACGTCCCACACACGAACCTCTGTCTTCGCCCCCTGCCCCAGAGCCACGTCGGCCCCAAGAGTCTGCCCACAGCACCTCCCTCACACGTGGTCATCTGCTCCAAGGCCTCAGAGGCCGCACCGCCAAAGCCAGACTTTATCTTCTGTCCCGAAACTGCCCCTCATGGTGCCTGCAGCCGGCTCCTGGGGGCTGTCCCAGCCCGTCCCAGATTCTGCCGGGGCCCTGCCACACGAAGAGTCGACTCCGTGTGAATTTAAGGTGTAGATGTGACAGGTAAGACTTCAAATGAGCAAGTGTCCTGAACTTTTGGGGGTAAGGAGATTTTTTTTCAGGTCTGAAAGTGCTAACCCCAAAGTAGAAGATCCGTAATTTTTAAGTGCGTATTTATCCAGCAAACGCCACAAACACTGACTGGAAAGCTGCCCCCCAGAGCGAAAAAAGTCATCGCAACACATACAACTGAGAAAGGGTCCTGGCCAACCGGAAGCGTCCCTGCAGACCCCGGAAGGCAGGAACCCCGAGCGGCGAGCAGAGCCGGGCCTGCGAGGAGGCACTTTCCAGAGCAGGCTGCCATCATGGCAGATGGACACACGGAGATTCTGACGTTCACTCATGATCAGGAAAATGTAAGTTGGGGCCAGACTTAAATACCACTTTGTACTCACCAGAGGGGAAAAAACTAAGAAAGCTGTTAGTATTAGGTGTTGAAGAGGCCGTGAATAATCACAGGACGCCTGAGGCACACTGCGACGAGTGTAAGTGTGCTCGAGAACCTGAGAAACAGCCTGGCGTCGGGTATCACGTCGGGTGTGCACAGCTGCCCAGAGCTGGGCTTGCGAAGTGTTCCAGGGCTTCCACGTGAGACTGCCGGGGACACCTGACGGGGTGGCAGGCAAGGCGCAGAGTGTAACACGCAGGCCCCAGAGGATACAAGTGCTCTGAAGTCACTTTTAGAAATTCAAAATTAAGAAAAGTCACAGAGACTACCAGAAGCAGAATTTGGGGCAGTGGCCGAGTCGGGGGCCAGGCGGCTGGATGTCCCCAGAGGGAGGTTGTGGTGCTCCAGTCGGGGCCGGGCTGCCGCCGCCTGCAGTGTTCTGAGTCCCCATAAGGAACCCTCCCCACGTTCTTCTCCACCTGTCGGATCCCACGCCAAACAGGACGTGCTTTTCCTTTTTGCTCCTTCTCTAGCGCCCCCTGGTGGGCACCACAGAGGCGGGCCCTGCCTCGGCGCTGCTCTCACCCAGGCCTGCCGCCCTTCCAGTGGCCCCTTGGGCGGTGGAGTCCGAGTCTCTCTGATGTGCTGTGGGGGGAAAAAAACCCAAAACGCAAACGAAGCCTCTTTAACATGGAGCCAGAGCCACGACCCAGAGCAACTGCCGGGCATGCCTTACGCCTCAAACCTTAGAACTCTGTTAAAGCTGGGGAGCCCTTGGCACTCTACCTACGACAACATGGTGTCCCCCAACACTGTTTTCAAAGATAACAAGAAAGCAGATACAGTGACTACGGAGTGGACGTTGAACACGTTGTCTGGGCCCTGGCTGGTGTGGCTCAGGGTTGAGCTTGGGCCTGCACACCAGAGGGTCACCGGTTCGATTCCCAGTCAGGGCCCAGGCCTGGGTTGCGGGCCAGGTCCCCAGTCGGGGGGGACTGGGAGGCGACCACATATTGCTGCTTCTCTCCCTCTCTTCCTCCCTCCCCCCTCCACAGGTAAATAAATAAAAGCTTTACAAAAGTAAAACGTCGTTTAGAATTAGTGTCCCTGTGTCATGTTCGGTGCACCTGTGCCTTCCCCTTCCTCACGGACGCCACTTGTCTGGGCCTCCCTGTCGGGACTCTCTCCGGGCTCCTGCCTGAACCGAGAGCCGTTTCTCTGACTCAGAAATGCGTTTGCTTCCCACGAGGAAAGGCCTGTCGTCTGCGGGCCGCCAGCTGGCGCCCCCTCCGGAGCCCGGGGCCTCCCCGGGGGACCTAAGTGTGTTTACCCAGCAAACACCACAAACCTGAGGGGAGACAGGGAGGCGGCTGCCTACTGAGACGGAGACGGCGCCAGGTGCTGGGTCAGGGGACATACACGTGTGACCCTCGCTCCCTTTGCAGTGGGGACCTTGTTCCCGGCCCAGGCTGGCGTGCCCTTTGGACACCGGCGTGTGTTCTCTGCTGCTGTTGTACTTGGAAGGCGCTTTTGGCTTTTGTCAAAGTCACTGTTGTAACCAAGAGTGCATTTACCCTGCACGCTCGTTTGCCTCGATGTCCTTCTGGGGTCTTGACCCTCTTACCACACAGGACAGAGCCCGTTTCCAGGTGCCCTGGGCCAGCTCTGCTGACACACTTCCCCCCCCGTCTCCACTCCCAGTCCCGCCACAGCCTCCACAGCCCCCTCCGTGGGGAGGTCGCGTGCCCACCTCACTCCTGTGCAGCCGGGGGACCCAGGGCTGCTGCGCTGCCTCTTCTGGGACGCTGCCGTGTTTGGCGTATGAAGGAGGGGAAGTCTCTCTGTGGAGGCAGCCTGACAGGAGATGTCGTGACCCCCGAGGAGGACTTGGCGTGGGGAGGAGGCCAAGGGGCCTGAGGGACCCTCTGGCCCAGCCATCATGTGGGGGGACGGGGGCTACATGCCCCTCATGCAGCCCGTACTCTCCCCGTAACGCCTGGCTGAGTAGACTGCACGGCTCGGAGCAGAAACCCAAGGAGCACAAGACGTCACACAGAGGCGACAGGCGGAGACACTGCACCGTGAACATTTCAGGGCAGACCACTGCTAAGGAGGCTAGAGGAAGCTGAAATTGATTTATGAGACATAAGGAAATATCTACTAACAAATTTAAAGCTGATAGTCTGAAACTAAAATTCCTGGTACTTGGAGTGGTACATTGTATAAAAAGTTATGTTTTATATTAATATTATATTACATTACATTATATGATATGATATTATGTTATACTCCATTACATTATATTGTATTATATTACAATGTGATCTACATGAACATATAGTTTTTTCAAAATGATGGAAGCAAAGTATACCTGATAATATCTATTTAACACATACACACACTCACAATAATAGAGGACTAAAGGACAAAAAAGGACTTTGATAGCCATTAAATGAGATGCAAGGCCTTGTTTCTAACAGAAGCACTCAAAAGTGCCATTCATCGTCTTCCGCAGACACGTGTTCCTGTGCTTAGAATTCGGCGCACTCCAGGCACCAGAAGCATTGTGTGTGGGGGCAACTTTGCCTGCAAGTCCCCCTGTTCACTATGGATGAAAATAAAACTGCCAAGACATGGTCTACTTGGGGAGAAAAGGTGGAGGTTGCCCCCCTCTGAGGGGTCTCTGACTAACCCACCAACTCTGGGGGCAGGGGATGAAGCAGAAGCAGCGCTGCTGCCAGAGACAAGCTTCGTCTCCTTAGTGGCTCACGGCCCAGAGGTTGCTCACTCGGCCTTATCCATGAGGGGCCGTTACAACTCCTGAAACCAGGCCGAATGATTCCCAACAATTGTGGCCAGAGAACCGCAGGCCCGACCTCTGACCGGCACTGCGTCTGCTTGCCAGCACTCACCTTTGGGCTCCCTCCCCAGACACAGACATCCTGGGGGCTGTGCAGGTGCAGCAGTTCTCAGCCAGTGGGAGGCGCAAGCCCTGCTGGCCGCCTCCCCACATTCTTTTTCACCCCCCATCAGAGCCAACAGGAGGGACCGGCAAAAAGGAGGAAGGCCCTGCGGACCTGCAGGCATCGGCCCTGGGCAGGTCGAGCAGACAGAGAAGAGGGCAGAGGGGTCAGAAAGCTCCGTCTCCACTCCGGGAACGGGTCCTCTCCTCCTTCCCACTGGCCACCGCAAAGACAGGAGCGGGTGCCACCAAGGCAGGACCCGCAGGCCAGCTGTGTCAGTTCCAGCTCCAGGGTGCACGGCACCGAAGGGGTGCCGAGACCCCCAGTCCCGCCAGAGCTCCGTGGCCCTTTCCAACACAGTCACAAAGCCAGCACCAGGATCCCGATGGCACTTTCAGATGTGGAGTGACGGAGGGCTTGCCGCCTTGCTCAGAGAAGGAACACGGGTTCGAGTTCAGTATACGTGGCATGGCCTCGCTTATGTAAACAAAAGCACACCAGGTGATTCTTGTCAACATGAAAGGAAAAGAATTGTTTCCATGGTGCACAAACATGTATTGCTCATATGAAAGCACAGAACTGGGATGCAGAAATGAAGATCTTCCCTCTATCACCAGTGAGAAGACAGAACAAACCCTGGCCTGCGGAGCTCTGTCACATGACGGTCCCCTCCCCCTTCTCGGAGCTGCCCCCAGCTGTCACCTCCTAACCTCCTAACGGGGACACTGCTGGGGCTTCTGCCTGGGTCGGGCCTCCCCGAGAACCTGCTGTTTGGGACCTCAGATAGGGGCTGCCTCTCACTTCGACCTTCTGTTTTCAGGTGGACCACTCTTTCCACATTCACAGAAAGCCGACGTGGGAATGCGGGCCGGGCCCGGGCGGGGGAAGTGATCGGAGATGGAAGATGTAAGGAAACCTGGAGTCCGAGGTGTGCCCCCGTACGTACAGGCAAGATGTCAAACACACAAGGTCCACCCAAATTAGCTCATTGATTCACAGCAAATCTAACAAAATTCTAATGTAATTTTTAAAGAATTTGATTAAACGATTCTACAGAATAATCTCCTAATTCTCTACAATAAAATAATACCCTTTTTATAATCAGAGGTTAATTTTTTCAAAATTGCTCGATGGTTCCCTTCCTTGTTTGCCTCCACTGGTTGTGCCGGCTGATTGACAAAGCGGAGAGTTTCAGACGGTGAGTTTCCATCCACGGCCCATGAGTTTGCTGCTGGCGATTCAGGTGCTATTGGGGCTGCCAGGCACCCCTCTGATCAGAAGTTCGGGGAATCGAAACTGGGATTGGGCACTCTGCCATGGAGACAATCAGCATGAAACTGATGCTGCTGCGTGACTCCCACCCCAGACAAACATGCTCACGTGACCCAAACCCTCCCTGTTCAGCTCGTGTCTGAGGACAGGGCAGTCCCCTTGTGGCCCCAGCTGGCAGGAGCCCATCAACCCCCAAATGCTTTCCTTTCCACAGCCAGTGACCTTCAGCTAGACTGAAGGACGCTGCCGTCTGCAGGATTTACTGTGGGAGGCTTAAAGTGTATGCCTTTCTCTCAAACATGCTCACTCTCAGAAGTATCGTCTTCTTCAATTTCTACATTACTGGTGTCTTCTGAAGAGTCCCTTTCCTCATCCCTGTAAACTTCACCATCCTCAGTTCCATTCACGGCATTGCTGATGCTACGTTTTAAAACGATTTCACAGCCACTAGCTCCTTGACACCGTTCCTTGATCTTAGGAGCCAATCACAAGCCTGGGCAGTAGATGCTTCCTTGGTCCTGCCTGTAGGTGAGTGTGAAGTCATTACCAGCTGACTGCATCCACCATGTCATCCTTTCTCCATTAGGGCCTTAAAGGGCTTGTTTACCAACATATGAAGAGGCTGCAGGTGGCTGCTTAGCCACTAAGCATCCCAGCAAGTTGGGTTTTCAAGTCCTCCGCGATTGCTTTTGCCATTCGTGTAACATGGGCTTTGAGTGATGAGAAACGAGCAAAGCTGGTTTCTTAAACAGTCCTCCAGGCCTTCGTGACTAGACTTGCTAAAACAGACTTTCGTGCCTTCTTCATTCCTCCATCCTTCTTCACGCACTTGGACAGGAGCTCCACTTGGAATCTCTTTTTCTGGAAACGTGTTTCTTTTAAAGATGACCACAGGTGGATCCTGGTCCCCTCTGCACAACAGGCTCACACAGCAGTGAAATGTGTTTTCTCATGAGCACTGGTCCTGACAGCCACGGTCTCTGCTCCTTCGGTGTACACCGTCTGCTGGATGGCACATCAGGTGTGAGAGGGGCCTCACCCACACTGGCGACGTCCGACAGCTCAAAGTCGTAGGTCTTTCGAAGACTGATAACATAAGAATGAAATTCCAAAACTCGATTCTCAGAGGCTGCTGGGAGTTTTGGGGCAAGTTGTCCTCATGCTCAAACCCTCTCTCCCCTTAAAGTCAAAGTCCCACTTAGGTGTCCCTGAGAAGTCCTCAGTTTTTTTTCTCGTGCAATCCTTTTACTTTCTTGTGTCCCCTTGGTGGAAACAGAGACCCCAGTCTGGTGCTGCGCCCGAGTCCACGTCTCCGCCTCCTGCTCCACCTCCGGCCACTTCGGAGGCTTCCCTTGCGTTGCCCCCTTCTGTCTGGGCGCCTGGAGAAGCTTTTCCTCCTGTCGCCCCACAGTCTGACACACTCTCCGCGGGGGACGTCCGAAGGGCCTCCCAGCAGCCCTGTCGCCATGCTTTTTAGCATACCTAATAACTTTTGGCTTAAAGCTTGCAGCGTTTCGACATTTTTAAATAATTTCTTCCGCCTAAAATGTATGAAGAGAAATGTTGCGCTGCTCACTGTATGGTAATAAAGTCGGCATCACCCATCTTCTCAAGCAGACGACGGTCGGCATCTCGTCTTTGTGGACGGCAATATGTCACTCTGCGTTTCATTTTGTTGGATTATTGGCGGGAGCTGGTTTCATTGCAAGTTTGTCCTAAGTTCAACAAGACGGATTATTATATTCCAGGGTATTATTTTGCATACAAATATGGTTATTGCTTTCTAGAGTTATACCTTTAATGCATAAGCATACATAAAAGAATTAAAAAACAGTTATATATGTGCAGAATTAGTACTACCCATATATAATGAGCATCCTTATTTTCCCCTAAAAATTTGGGCAGAAAGGTGTGCATTATACACGGCAAAATATGGCACTTCTTTATTCGTTGATCAACAATTCTTGACCTGGCTGGCGTGTCTCAGCAGACTGAGCGTGGCCTATGAACCAAAAGGTTGTATGTTTGATTCCCAGTCAGGGCACATGACTAGGTTGCAGGCCAGGTCCCCAGTAGGGGGTGTGTGAGAGGCAACCACACATGGGTGCTTCTCTCCTCCTCTTTCCTTCCCCTCGCTCTAAAAATACATAAATAAAATCTTTAAAAGAATTCTCTAATCTCTGCCTGGAATAGCTCAGGTACCATCTCCATGGCTTGCAGACCCCTGGGCACAAAGGCTGAACTCCGTGCCCCTCCTAGAGTCATGGGGTCACACACTGCCATTCCTGGAACAGCAGGTCTCCTTGCGCACCAGCCACTGCAGCCTCTCCGCTGCGACGGAAGCTGGAATCTCTACTCTCGAGTTCTCCTATCAGACTCTCCTGTTTCTATCTCCGGAGTCCCCAAGAACCCGGCACACTTCCACGATGGGATTCTCACCTGCCGTGGAGACCGTGGTCGGATTCCTGGCCCACGGCCCCAGCTCTATGGCGGTGTCTAATCTCTCTAGACGTCTATTCTGGGAGATCCCAGGAAACCAAGGCACCAGTAACAGCCCCAGGTCCGGATGACCTGAGGGTCGGTGACTGTGGATATCTGTGTTTACTGATGTGCATGGAAAAGGGGCTTCCGGCAAATCTAACCCAAAGGAAGCTCCCCGGGTGACTTGGTCACAAACTCCTGGCTGGGCAGGCCGTGTGGGCAGTTGTAGTGACACCTCAGGCCCACGGCTTCTCTAGTGAAAGGTCATCTCTGCTAAGCAGCCCTGTCCACTGTCCCTGTGCATTTTGTCACCACGTCTTTGAAACGCCAGAGTGGTCACCTTCCCAGAAATCTCTGAGGAGCACCCGGTCTCGTTGACTCTCCAGTGGTCCTAGGCCTGCCTCGTTCTGTCCGGCCTTCATTCAGTCCCCCTTCTGTTCCACCTTAATTCCAAATGCTTAAAAGAAGCTTCACACTGTCATCCTGGCAAGTTTTCTCAGTCTGTTGAGATCTTGCTCCCAGGTGTAGCCTCTGTTTGGCTCAGATGAATTTACATAGAAGTTCTCCATACTTTTGCACACCCTTAGGTCAACACTGACATTACACAGACGTCAGCAGTGTTGACAGGCCCCAGATGCCGCCAGAGCCGGGACAGGGCTCTCCAGAGGCAGCCACTGAGGAGCAGCCCTGGAAGGACGCCAGACAGCAGCTAATCATAAACCAATATCTGGGGCCAGAGGAGAAGGGAGGTGGCATTGGATGCCGGTTGACCTTCTCCAGGATGCACTATAAAAACCTGGCCTTTCCCGGGGTTGGCAGAGACGCTCCCCGCCACACAAACAGGCAGCATGGCTGTCCTGGGCATCACGGCCGCCCTGCTGGTGTGGATGGCCACCCTGCTGGTCCTCTCCTTCTGCAAGCAGGTGCACCGCAGGTGGAAACTGCCCCCAGGCCCTTTCCCGCTGCCCTTCTTTGGGAATATTTTTCAGTTGGAATTAAAGAATATACCAAAGTCCTTCACCAAGGTAAGAGAAATATGGTTGATTTGGGGAAGGAGAATCTGGGAACTAGATGTCCTATTTGTGCATTCAGCACATTGTAGACAAACTGTTCTGTATGATTTGAACTAACAGTAGTGTCCATGAGTGATATTCAAAATATCCAGCTAACAGGACAGCTTGGCCTTGCAGCCCTCCCAGGGCATCGGCTATAGACGGCCTGAGAGGCCCCTGCTTGAGACACACGTCCACTGCCTCACTGGTGGCTGGGGGAGGCCACTGTGGTGCGTGGTGTCAACCTGGAGTTCTCCATAGATGCTAAAGAACAGGGAAAAGTGAAGTGCGTGACCAGTTGGCCGGGCACCTTCTCCTATTATTGTTGTGAGCAGTGAATAAGCTACCAAACCTGAACACTGAACAAGTTGAGCCCTGGCCAGTGTGGCTCAATTGGTTGGAGTGTCATGCTGTGGAGCAAAATGACTCAGGTCTGATTACCAGTCAGGGCACATGCCCAGGTTGCAGGTTTAATCCCCAGCCAGTCAATGCTTCTCTCTCTGTCCCTGACCCTCTCTAAAAAGCAATGAAAAAAAATGTCCTCAGGTGAGAATAAGATAAAAAAATAAATAAATAAATGAGTTGATAAATCTACTCAGTGAGTCGATAGAACACCACAGGGCATGGGGGCGGTGGAAGGGTTTCTGCTTGGAGGGGCACTGACAGGGGTCGGGATGGTGCCCAGCTCTGGGTCTGCCTGCAGTGCCCTGGGGCCCATGACCTTGACTGGGAACAGCAAACAGTGCAGGTGCAAGGGCAGAGTTGGACACAGTGGCTTCAGGGGAGGGACATGAGAAGCAGAGCCGCAGGGAGGGGAATTAACCACAGCCAGGCGGATATGGCCGGGGCACTGGAACCTCAGTCCCTGCAAGGTCTCCCCAAGCGAGGCTGGACTTAGTCCCCAGGTCCCTCTGGGTTCTCTTGGTCAATAGCAGCAACTTTGGGGGTCATTTTGAAGCACGACCTTCCCATCCCCCAATCCCCTGTGACCTCACTCCCTGCTTGCTGGTCTTGCAGCTGGCAGAGCGCTTTGGGCCGGTGTTCACTGTGCACCTGGGCTCCCGCCCCGTCGTGGTCCTGCACGGCTACCAGGCCGTCACGGAGGCCCTGCTGAAGCACAGGAACGATTTTGCTGGCAGAGGAGAATTCTGCCTGTTCCAGGAGCAAAGGCACAAAGGTACCTCCTGGTCCGGGCATTGCTGGTAGTGGGCTCTCGGGGCCTGGCAGGGGCTGCCCTGTGGCAACGAGAGTCCTGGGGAGGGTGGAGAGGTGAACCGGTGCCCAGACGGTGCAGGGGAGGCCGCTGGTGTATCCACTCACCCCACTGCATCTTCATGAAAGCCACTATGACACTTTCACCCCAAAGGGCCAGGACCGCAGCACCCACACCCTGTCAGCAGGACGGCGTTGTCATAGAGCGGTGTGACACAAGGGGAGGTCCTGACAGGCGAGCAGACCTCGGGCCTCCGGGGCCCCCAGTCTCCTCCATGCTGTCCCCACTCACAGCTTCAGCTGCTCCTGGGTGTGGCAGCTCCGGCCTCTGACATCCCCTCAGCACAACGGGCCCCGAAACCTGCTGGGCGCTCTGAGGGTCCACAGGGCTTTGCTCAGCTGCAGTCCGGGTTCTCCAATGAGGGGCCTTGGGTGCCCCCCCTGGGGCTGTGCCTAGAGCAGGCCAGGGGGTGCTGAGTGCAGCCCAGCTCAGAATGAGTCTCCCACAGGCCGTCCCCCGAGCCTCACCTCTGTCCTGTGCACCTCATGTCTCCACAGCCCCGAGTTCCCCTTTTCCAGAAAACATGCCGGTCACTGCCTGCGGCTGGGGGAGGGCTGGGCCTGGGGTTGTGAGTGGCCTGTAGCTGAGTGTTTCCCAGACTCCTGACCCCAGATCCTGCCTTCTCTGCCTCCTGGGATGCCCTGGAGCTGTGGGGGACCCCTGCCTGGTGGGGCTCCCTTCCTCAGCCGTCACCCAGATGTTCGCTGCCCCGCCTGCTGCCCTCTCCGTCCCGGCCTTGCCCTTCCTGGCTGTGCTCCCTGCACTCCCTGTGGGTAAGGCTTCCATGAGATCCAAAGCAGATCAGAAATAGCCAGCGGCCCATCTTCTGCATGACATGGGGCAGCCTCTGCTCTTCCTGAGTCAACTTCAGTAACAAGTTTCTAGGAAAACTTCATCTATTTCATACAGAGTTTTCAAATAGACACATGTACAGCTGGACACGGCGCCCTCACCTGACCCTTCCACTCTCCATTTCCAAGGTTCTGCAGCAGGTGGTGGTGTTCTCTTGGACATTGTGGGTTTGTTTCACTTCTTTGGGCTTGATGAAAGGACAACCGACCACCTCAGCCACTGTCATTAACACTAAAGGGCTTCCTGTGGTCCCCAGAGTCCTCTGCCACCCCTGATCCCAGGCACAAGCCCGGAATACAGTCAGGCTGGACCCAAGGGGGCTGCGCTGCCTCCCGACTGGGGACTCCAGAGCCCCATCTTCAGCTGGGCCGTGGACCTGCCCGAGCCGTGAATGCTCACAGGCAGCACCACAGTGGGAGCACAGGCTGCGTGTTTACGTGTGAAGGACCGTCACGAGTCATCCAGTCGGGCTGCAGGAAGCTCTCACGGAGAAGCCATTTCCATCCTCATTCCAGCCGACTGGATCCCAGATGGGGCTGGCTGGCTGCCCCCAGCTCTCTGTCCGCCGTTTGCCCCCGGCTGTCTCTCTTCTTTCGCTGTCCCCGTCTCTGTGTCAGTTCCTCTCTGTCTCCCCCTTGCTACACCTCTCTTCCCTGTGATTTTTTAAAAATTTTTTCATTGATTATGCTGTTACAGTTGTTCTATTCTCCCCTTCATTCCCCTCCACCCTACCCCCCCGTCCCAGCCATTACCCCCCCTTTAGTTTATGACCATGTGTCTCAAGTCCTTTAGATTCTATATTTCCCATGCTATTCTTGCCCCCCCCATCTATTTTCTATCTACTGTCTATGCTGCTTATTTTCTGTACCTTCTCCCCCCTTCTCCTCCTCCCACTCCCCTGTTGCTAACCCTCCTTGAGATCTTCATTTCTATGTTTCCACTCCTGATCTAGCTGTCCTGTTAGTTTGCTTTTGTTTTAGGTGTGGTTGTTAATAACTGTGAGTTTGTTGTCCTTTCACTGTTCATGTTTCTTTAACTTCTTTTTCTTAGATAAGTCCCTTTAACATTTCATATAATAAGGGCTTGGTGATGATGAACTCCTTGAATTTGATCTTATCTGAGAAGCACCTTATCTGTCCTTCCATTCTAAATGAAAGTTTTGCTGGATAGAGCAATCTTGGTTGTAGGTCTTTGGATTTCATGACTTGGAATACCTCTTTCCAGCCCCTTCTTGCCTGGAAGGTCTCTTTTGAGAAATCTGCTGACAGTCTGATGGGGACTCCTTTGTAGGTGACTGTCCCCTTTGCTGCTTCTAGGATTCTCTCCTTCATTTTAATTTTGGCTAATGTAATGATGATGTGCCTTGGTGTGTTTCTTCTTGGGTCCAACTTCTTTGGGACTCTCTGAGCTGCCTGGATTTCCTGGAAGTCTATTTCCTTTGCCAGCTTGGGGAAATTCTCCTTTATTATTTCTTCAAATAAGTTTTCTACTGGTGGCTGTTCCTTTCCCCCTTCTGGCACCCCTATAATTCGGATGTTGGAGCATTTAAAGATGTCCTGGAGGTTCCTAAGACTCTCCTCATTTCTTTGAATTCTTGCTTCTTGATTCTTTTCTGTTTGGCCATTATTTGCTTTCTTCTGGTCCACTCCATTGATTTGAGTCCCAGTTTCCTTTTCATTGCTATTGGTGTCCTGTGCAATTGCATTCATTTCAGTTAGTTTCGCCTTCATATATTTGTCTAATTTGTGGCTATAATCAACCAGTTCTGTGAGGATCCTGATCACCAGTGTTTTAAATTGTGTGTCTGAGAGTTTTGCTATTTCTTCATTGCTTAGATTTATAGGCTCTGGGGCTTTGAGATCTTCTTGAGCCATTTTTGGTCTTGAGCCATTTTTGGTCTGTTTGCACCCTTTAAGTGTGAGGAGCTGAGCCTTGGACTCCCAGGTCGCTGGGTTGTGACACTGTATGTGGAGGTGGGGTCAGAGCGGGGAAATGGCGGCGCCCTCCGCTGCCGCTTGCCGCGGGGACCCACTGGGTCCCGGTCCAATCGCCCACTCCCTCGCTTGTGTATCCACGCACCAATGAGCAACCACAGTCGACCCGCAGCCCTGCTTCCTCGCTGTTTCCCCGCGGTTGCTCGCTTGGTCGCTCGCTCGGTCGCTCACTAAGTCCAACCCTGCGCCTGAGTGTGTCTGACCGAGTTTTCCTGTGCAACCCTGCTCCACCAGCTGTTGGTTTCGCCCCTTACCGGTCAGACTGAAGAATTTGTTGTTAACAGACTTCCGAAAAGTTCAATATTCTGTGTTCTGGCTGTGTTTTCTATTGCTAATATTTAGTTGTCTCTAAACTTGGTTGTGTGAGAAGGCACGGCTCATCCACCTATGCCTCCATCTTGGCGGAAGTTTCCCTGTGATTTTTTAAAACCAGAAGATGTGTGGATTTTATCGTAGAGAATGCCATTAACAATAGTCATTACTATACCCACATTCATTTTAAGCCAAGCCTTTATTATTTCTTGATGTTAATTTTTTAAAAATATATTTTATTGATTATGCTATTACAGTTGTCCCATTTTCCCCTTTTATTCCCCTCTGCCCTGCACACCTTCTCCCACCCACATTCCCCCCTTTAGCTCATGTCCATGGGTCATACACATAAGTTCTTTAGCATCTACATTTCCTACACTATTCTTACCCTCCCCCTGTCTATTTTCTACCTACCATTTATGCTACTTATTCTCTGTACCTTTCCCCCCTCTCTCCTCCTCCCACTTTCCCACTGATAACCCTCTGTGTGCTCTCCATTTCTGTGGTTCTGTTCCTGTTCTAGTCATTTGCTTAGTTTTTTTTAATTTTATTTTTTTTAGGTTTGGTTGTTAATAGCTGTGAGTTTGTTGTCATTTTACTGTTCCTATTTTTGATCTTCTATTTCTTAGATAAGTCCCTTTAACATTTCTTATAATAAGGGCTTGGTGATGATGAACTCCTTTAACTTGACCTTATTTGGGAAGCGCTTTTCTGCCCTTCCATTCTAAATGAAAACTTTGCTGGTTAGAGTAGCTTTGGATGTAGGTCCTTGCCTTTCATGACTTCAAATAATTCCTTCCAGCCCCCTTTTGCCAGCAAGGTTTCTTTTGAGAAATCAGCTGATAGTGTTATGGGCACTCCTTTGTAGGTAACTGTCTCCTTTTTTCTTGCTGCTTTTAAGATTCTATCCATATCTTTAATCTTGGCTAATGTAATTATGATGTGCCTTGGTGTGTTCCTCCTGGGGTTCAACTTCTTTGGGACTCTCTGAGCTTCCTGGACTTCCTGGAAATCTATTTCCTTGACCAGATGGGGGAATTCTCCTTCATTATTTTTTTCAAATAAGTATTTAGTTTCTTGCTCTTCCTCTTCTGGCACCCTGTGATTTGAATGTTGGAACATTTAAAGTTGTCCTGGAGGTTCCTAAGCCTGTCCTCATTTTTTTGAATTCTTGTTTCTTCATTCTGTTCTGGTGGAATGTTTCTTTCTTCCTTCTGCTCTAAACTGTTTATCTGAGTCCCAGTTTCCTTCTTGCCACTGTTGGTTCCCTGTACATTTTTCTTTAATTCAGTTTTCATAGCCTTCACTTCTTCCTCTATTTTGTGACCATACTCAACCAATTCTGTGAGCATCCTGATTACCAGTGTTTTGAACTGTGCATCTGATAAGTTGGCTATCTCTTCATCACTTAGTTGTATTTTTTCTGGAGCTTTGAACTGTTCTTTTATTTGGCTCATTTTTTTGTCTTGGAGCACCTGTAACGTAGTAAGGGGTGGAGCCTTAGGTGTTCCCCAGGGTGGGGCAGCCCATGGGGCTGCATTGTGACGCTGTCTGTCGGGGAGGGTCTGAGAGGGATCAGTGCAGCTTCCCATGGTCTCTGCCAGTCTCCAGTCACCTCCCCCACCACCCACAAAAAAATTGGGCCCTTCTGGTGCTGATTTCCAGTTGGGTTGGTTTGTGTACATTCTGGGACCCTGTGGGTCTCTCCAACGAACTTTCCTGTGAGGCTGGGAGTTTCTGCTGCTGCTGCCTCAACCCCCACAGGTGTTTTCAGTCAGAGGCCTGAGGCTTTATTTTCCCACTGGGACCCGGGGTTGTGTGGTCTGTCTCCCTCCCCGGTGGTTCCTCCCGGTTTATCTGCATGCCAGTGTGGGGCCGCCTGCTCCGCCACCTTGCTGCAAGTCCTCTCCGCCCGGCTGCCCATCTCCGCCCCTCCTACAGGTCTGGATGAGTGTTTCTTCTTTAACTTTTTGGTTGTTGGACTTCCATACAGTTAGATTTTTCTGGCAGTTCTGGTCGTTTTTTATTTTTAAATTTGTTGTTGTCATTCTTTTGTTGTGCGAGGAGGCACAGTGTGTCCACCTACGCCTCCGTCTTGGCCCAAAGTCCTCGTGACATTTTGAACCACTCTCCTGCCCTTGGCTGTGGCCCGGCACGCCCTCCCTGGCAGTTTCTCTGATCTCTGGGCTCAGGTCCCCACCTCTTGGGGGCTCAGGTCCCTCTCATCCTTTGGTCATCCATGCCAGCTGCTGGGTCACCAGACTGGCAATTCCGATGGAAACCTGAGTTTGGCGCATTTCCCTGGGCACGGATGCCCCAAGCCCCTCCTCACTGCGCAAAGCCCCAGGGGAACCTCAAGCCTAGACCAGCAAACCCACCCCAGGACCCCTGACCCGGCTCTGCCTCTGAGCCCAACCTGGTGCCTGGCTCCGCCCCGCCGGGCTCAGTGCCTGCGGCCCCCATGGGCTGCGCCTCTTAGGCCTGGGCCTGGGCACGCAGGTCGGCCCCAAGCTGCTGGTCTGTACGCCAGGGAGCCTGTGGCCCCCACACTCAGCAGGACACTTTGCGGGGCACAGACTTGGGAGTTGAAGTGTCGCAATGTGAAGGCAACACTCAGAAATGGGGTGGGTTTGGGGGGACTCCGTCCTAGACCAGGAAGGGGTAGCAGACATGGTTTTCTGTCCTGAAACAGTTTTTTTTTAAAGACTTTATTTATTTATCTTTAGAGGGGAAGGGAAGGAGAGAGGGAGAGAAACATCAATGGTTGCCTCTCGTGTGTCCCCCGCTGGGAACCGGCCTGCAACCCAGGCAGTGTCCTGACTGGGAATCGAACCGTGATCCTCTGGTCTGCAGGTCCATGCTCAGTCCACTGAGCTACACCAGCCAGGGCTGTCCTGGAACAGGTTTTAGGTGCAATGGGGCCGGGAGCCACTGGTGAGATGGGCAGGACCCCCATGAACTGCACCGGTGCTGTGCTCCAGCCGCGGGTCTGCAGCACGTCCCAGCTGCCCTGACGCGCGGTCGGGGTCTGGGCATTGGCTGTGACTCCTCCGTGGTCCCTCCTCCCCAGGCATTACTTTCAACAATGGCCCGAGCTGGAAGGGCACCCGGCGGCTCTCCCTGACCGTCCTCCGAGACTACGGGATGGGGAAGCGGGGCAACGAGGCCCGGATCCAGAGGGAGATCCCGTTCCTGCTGGCGGCGCTGCGCAGGACAGACGGTGTGTGTGGGCCGGGGGCACTGCCCTGAGGCCTGGCCTGGGCTGGGGACACCACAACTCGGGTCCTCCCTCCAATGCGGGGGAGGGGGAGCGAGAGCGCTGACACGTGTGTCACTGTCGCACCTGAGTCACTGAGAGGTAAAGAGGCCCTGCCTTCCGTGAAGTGTCACGGTTTTCAGGGCGTCTCTTCACAGGAGCCGAGTGGCGAAGCAGAGCCCCTAGGCTCACCCGCACCTGTCTTCCAGGCCGGCCCTTCGACCCCACCTTTCTCCTGGGCCGCGCCCCCTGCAACATCATCGCCGACATCCTCTTCGGCCGGCGCTTCAATGACGACGACACCACAAGTCTGAGGCTGCAGGGCTTGTTCAACGAGAACATGTACCTGCTCGGCACTCCCTGGGCGCAGGTGAGGCCACTCTCCACCTCTGTCCCAAGCCCCCACTCGTCTTCAGCTGCATCGATTAGGTCAGAACAAGGGAAGGGACACGTGTGTGGAGTGGAAGTAACAGACAGGCCTGCACGTTCTCTCTGGACACGCATGCACCTGACTGAGGTGGCCCTTTGCTAAGCTTGGGACACTTAGTGGTTCATTCTGGCAAATCGGGGTGTGTGTGTGTGTGTGTGTGTGTGTGTGTGTGTGTCCCGTGCATGTGAGGCAGGGGCCGTGAGTTCGTGCTCCCCACAGAACAGGCCCTGCCTGACAGAGGGCTGCCCAGACAGTCCTGGGGGCCAAAGTCTTACGCGGGATACAATATCTGCAGCCCTAAACTTAGCTTTGGAGAAACGTATTAGTCCAGCTCACAAAATTATGTTGCATCCAGAAAGAAGAAAACATACATAGTAAGACATTCTCTCTTGCTCTGCCTCTCTCTAGCTTTATAACAGTTTTCAAAGCTATCTACACTACCTGCCCGGAAGCCATAGGAAAGTACTAAAAAACTTGTCTGAATTAAAAGCCTATGCCTTGGACAGAGTGAAGGAGCACCAGCAGTCCCTGGACCCCAGCTGCCCCCGGGACTTCATCGACTGCCTGCTCATAGAGATGGAGAAGGTGCCCCGGCCCCACGCCCGGGGAAGCCGAGTGCTGGGCTGCTCCGAGATGGTTGTGGGGGAGGGGCGTTTCTCGGATTTGTTTCGTCACTGCTGGTGCCCAGACTGCCCACAGGGGGTCCAGTCTGGTGCTTCTGGTGTTACACAGACACGCTGGCTTCACATAACCGCTGCATGCTGCTCCCACACAGGCAGCCTGCCTGGCTTCTTCAACACCGCACGGCTGTGCCCTGCTGCCTCCCTGGGGAAGCGGACAGAGGCCATGGAACCCTCACACCAGCCCCCTCCGTGCCACGCCCCTAACCCGGGCTGCGCCTCATCTGGGGAGAGGCCCTGAGCATCCTCCTCTGCACGTGGACCCTGACTTGTACAGGATTCCAAGGGGTTCCTTGAGTGCTCGGCAGTTCTGAGATGGTTGGCTGTGCTGTCTACCTGACAGCCCCTGAGGACCCCCAGCACAGACTGGTCACATGCCACCATGTCACCTCTTTCCTTTGACATCACATGTGGCTTTGGAACAGCACCTGACTTCCCAGGATGATGGCCCCAGCAGCTGGGCCCTCACTGCTCTTCCAGAGGCTCAGCTTCCCTGTGACTTTCCTGGGTGGTGTGCAGAGGCCTACGGCTCAGCCCCGGAGGTCAGGACGCTGGACCAGGCAGAGCCGCCCGGTCCTGGAGTGGGCTCTGCACTCTAGAAGCAGCTGAAGCCCAGTGGCCTGGGCGAGGCGCAGGCCCTCACCTTTCTGGGAGGCTCAGCTCCCTAGCTGTGCAGAGGAGACAGCTGTGTCTCCACAGGACAGCCTTGCACACGTCTGCCCTTTCTCCCTGTGGAGCTGGTGGGGCTGGGGCTGCTCTGTGGTCGAGGGACAGATGCCAGGGTCTCCATCTCATTCACCTGAAGACATCATCTTACCGCGTCCCCATCTGTCTGTAACATCCATAGAAACGATACAGTGAAGAGCCTGGGCACACCTTGGACAACATCACTGCGACTGTGGCTGACCTGTTCTTCGCGGGGACGGAGACCACCAGCATGACTCTGAGATACGGGCTCCTGGTTCTCCTGAAATACCCGGAGATTGAAGGTATGTCCAGTCATGGGCAAGGAGCCCTGGGCTCTGCGGCTCTCACCTGAACAGCCAGCCCACAGCATTTAGGTGTCAGCTTTCTTCTGTAAGTGACATTGCTTGTCAGCCCTTGCAGGACTGATGCGGGGGTCACTGGACAAATTCTCGGAGGGGAAGTGTCCTTGTACCTGACAGTTGCCTGGCCCCTGACCAGCAGCCCTCCCACACGCCACTGACACCCTGAGCACTGCGGAGGAAACCCAGCAGCAGCCTGGAGCATCGCAGAGCATTGCAGTGCTGTCCACCTTCTGCTCTGGGGCGGAGCCTGTTTGTGATGCTGACCGACCATAATCTCTGCACGGCCCCTGAGTACACGTCCGCCTTCCAGGCCGAGCCAGGGTGGCCTTGTTCCAAGGAGCTTCCCACCACCCCACGCACAACTGCTGGTAATAACGTGGCTCCTGCCATTTGCCAGGCACAAGCCCTTCAAGACACTGTATCCCTGAGGGCAGCCGTTACAGGATAAGCAGCAGCTTCCCCACAGCCTGTCCTGGGCCAGACCTGGTCTGCCAGCACCGCAGCCTGTGCTCTTTCTTTCTAATGGGAAGGTGGGGGCGAAGGAACCCGAGGGCTGTGGAGCGGGGCCCTGCCCAGGCCTGTGGTGGCCCTCGAGGACTTCTGACCTCGCTGCCCCGGGACCAGAGGCTCTAAAGTGTTTTCCATTGTTAATTAGGAGACATTGCTAATATAAAGAAAAAGAAAATAAAAGAGAGACACCCATACACCCACTGCCAGATTTCACCTGTGTTCGCACCAGGCAGTCCATACTTCAGGGCTCTGGAAAAGAAAGTAAGGCCTTTCCTAACCAAGAGCAGTGTTTGCTACTTTGCTGTGGCAGAGGAAGAGCTCACCTAACACCGTGAAGAATCGTGCCAACGTGGCGGACAGTTCTCCAGAACGCAAACTGAAAGCCCCAAAAGGGTGCGAGCTAACGGACAGCGAACACAAAATAGCTGGGCGAAGTACAAGGAAACTCAGAAGGACTGGTCAATGCACCCGAGTGAAGTTAGAGTGCAAACAGCATTTTACCAAAGAGATTGAAACTCTAGGAAAGAACCAGACAGAAAACCTGGGGCTGCAGAACTGCACATGCGCTGAAGGGGCAGCAGAGAGCACCCGAAACCAGGCAGAGCTAATGGGAGGGAAGACAGAATCTGGCAATGAGTCACACGGGAGAGGACAGAGACCTGAGATTTTTAAAAACGAAGAAGCTGTAGGAGAACTATTTGACTCCTTTAAAAAAAAAAAGGCAACACAGGATGGTGGGCATCTCAGAATGAAGACCAAGTGAAAGGGATCAGAGGACTTTTTTGGAGAAATAATACCCGGGAACTTTCCAAAGCTGGGAGAGGGCTGGATGTGAGAGTACAGGGGCTGATACAACAAGTAACCAGTCACCTCCGTGCAGGAAGGCCTGCTCCAACACTCGCTTTAAAACTGTCAGAAGTCAGTGCTACAGGAAGACTTCAAAGGCAGGTGGGGGGAAAAGATGGCGGCCTACAAAGGCCGACCCCCACTGGGCTGTTGGCAGATCTCTCGGCAGAACTCTACAGACCAGGAGAGAAGTGATAGATTAAAAAGTCTTGCAAAATAAAAACTGCCAGCCAGGAAGATTCTATCCAGTAAAGCTATTCCTCAGATGTGAAGGAGAGACAAGGGCATCTCCAGAGAGACAAGAGCTGAGGGAGGTCACTGCCGCTGGGCCCACTGTACAGGCTGGAAGGAGCTCTTCTATGTGAGATGAAAAGGCAAAACTACACAAAACGGTGGTAAGGTGATGGGCAGACGGACAGAACCAGATAATTGCAAAGCTATTTCAGAATACAGCATAAAAGTTAAAGGGAAAAAGCATTAAAAATAACTGTAACTCTTTTAATTTGGTAAGAAGCTCACAACATAAAAAGGAACAGTTTGTGGCAACAAAACATCGAAGGAGAGGAGGGAAAGGGTGAGACCTATGTGGACAGTGTTCAGAAAACGGGACAGCCACATGCAAAATACTGAAGCTAGAACACAGCGCTATTCCATACATGGAAATTAACTCTAAGTGGGTTGAAGTCAGGAATGGAAGAGCTGAAACCACAAAACATAGAGAAGAAAATATGTACTAAGCTCCTTGACATCACTCTTAGTGAAGTTTTGATGGATCTGACTCCAACAACAAGGGAGAGAAAAGTAGAAATAAACTAACAGGAGCACATCAAACTAAGAAGCGTCTGCAACACAGGAAACTACCAACAAAATGAAAGGCAACCTGCAGAATGGAAAAAGGCATTTGCAAATCATATATGTGATAAGGAGTGAATATCTAAAATATATAAAGAACTCATACAACTCAACAACAACAACAAAAACTGAACAACCCAGTTTAAAAATGGACAAAGGACCTGAATAAACATTTTTCCAAAGAAACTTACAGGTGGCAAACAGGCACATGAAATAATATTCAACATCGCTAATCATCAGGGAAATTCAGGTCAATGACACAGTGGGATACCACCTCACACCTGTTAGGATGGTGTCATAAAAAAGATAAGGAATATATAAGTATTGGGGAGGACATAGAGAAAAGGGGGCTCTCTTACACTGTTGGTGGGAATGCAGACTGTTGCAGCCACTGTGGAAAGCAGTATGGAGGTTCCTTAAAAAAGGAAAAGTAGAATAACCATACGATCTAGCTATTTACCTTCTGAATATTTATCCAAACACTACAAAGCCACTACCGTATTTTTTGGATCAAAACACGCACCCAGGTTTTAGAGGAGGAAAATAGGGAAAAAATTTTTGAAGGAAAAAATATGGTGAAATATTTAATAACATAAATAACAGAATATTTCACCAATGTAAATGTAAACAGAACTCAACAGCAGTATTAACAACCATTATTCCTCCCAGGTTGGGGTTGCTGCATCTTATAGTCCCGAATTGTGGTAATTTAAAAACTATGTGCCCCCACATTCACTGCAGCGTTATTACAACAGCCGAGACATTGAAACAAGCCAAGTGTGCACCCAGGAATGTATTCGTAGCAAATGTAGAAACACGTATCAATAACAAGTGCGACCTTGCCATGCGTGACAGCCTGGGTGGACCTCGAGGTCACCATACTAAGAGAAATAAGTCAAACAGAAAAGGACAAATACCGTATGATTTCACCCATATGTGGAAAATAAAAAAACAAACCAAACCAATCTCAGAGACACAGACCACGGATCGGTGGTTGTCAGAGGGGAGAGGGAGGGAGAAGCCGTTAGGGGGGTAACTGGCGAGAGGCGGGCGATGGCAGACGCGGTGGTGCGCATGACGTCATACATGCAGACGCGGATTATAAGGCTGCACACCTGAAGCATATAAGCCAACGTCACCTCAGCGAAAGATTGAAAAAGGACGGATGCCCAAACGTGCTGTAGACTGTCCCCTGGCGAGCTCAGATCTCACCGACACGTGGGAGACTTAGGTATTGGACAGCACAAGGCTGCTGGGCTGGAGCTTCCACCGCTGGGAGAGCTCCGTAAACCCCTACTGAGTGGACGGCAGGCTGGCTGGGAGTGCGGCCACCCAGTCCTTTACACTTGTCCACCCCTATGTTGCAGAGAAACTTCATGAAGAAATCGACAGGGTGATTGGGCCCAGCCGAGTCCCTGCCGTCAAGGACAGACTAGAGATGCCCTACATGGACGCGGTGGTGCATGAGATCCAGCGCTTCATCAACCTCCTGCCCACCAACCTGTTGCATGAAGCAACCCGGGACACAGTGTTCAGAGGATACGTCATCCCCAAGGTCAGGTGTGAGCTGGACTCTGTCCCAGCAGCTCAGCTGCTGTCCCGCCCAGGGACAGGATGGAAGGTCCAAGGACACCTCCCTCTGGCAGATGTGGCTGGGCCACACCACCACGCCACAGAAGTCCCCACACAGACCTCGTGCCCACAGGGATGAGGAAATATGGAAAAGGGACCCCTTCCGTAACCCCCGGGGTTCGTGGTATATTCCAACACCAGAAAGCAAACAACGCAGGTAACACAGCCCTTTACTCCTCTAAAGAGCTTAGAGCTCCCACTAACCCTTTACACCTGACCCCTGGCTGCCTTCTATCTGGTTCGTAAGCAAACAACTTCCTCAACTGAAACACACTCTTTTGTGTAAGGTAAAATTCAAAACACCCTTATTCACTGGGGGCCTGCAGATCAGAGCCCATGTTTTGCTAACATGACCGACACAGCCTTTATTGTTTCAGGGTACAGTTGTAATTCCAACACTGGACTCCCTCTTGTTTGACAACCAAGAATTCCCCGATCCAGAGACGTTTAAGCCAGAGCACTTTTTAGATGAGAATGGGAAGTTCAAGTACAGTGACTATTTCAAGGCATTTTCCGCAGGTGAGAAGAGTTCCGATGTGGCACCCTACCCAGGGACTTGTCTGGGAGTCCTGCCCTCCACTCCATGTGTAATCTGCCATCACCCCAGACCTGCATGGGGCCCCTTACTTTCACCCGCAGTGTGACTCCCATGTGCTCCTCTCTGTTCAGAGCAGTTAGACGTCTTTCCACCAGAAGTCCTGGAAGTGAGGTGTCGGGGATGAATTATCTCTCCATGGATAGATGTTTTACTTCATCCAGAGCTAAAACTCTTTACTTGCTAGGACTTAGTAAAAAAAATCTCTCAAAACTGTATGACCTCACTCTCTGTAGGGTCATATAGGGTTACTAAACGAAATGTAGCGTGTGGTTTCCCACACTCATCTCGGGCCATCCAGCCTTTCTTGGGCTGTCAGCCCGTGAGCCTCGGTCCCTTTCCCAGGGCCTTTCCTCAGATGTCAGTGTGACGAAAGGTCATGTGACCAACTTGGTACTTCAGCACCCCACGCTGCAGCGCTGGCCTCTTTCCTGTAGGGCGTGGGGATGGGCACGGGGATGACCACAGGGCAGGTGGAGACTCCTCTCCAACCTACCAGGGGTCATGCAGCTGAGTCCCCGTGGCTGAGGTGTGAGGCTGGTCCCCGCATGTGTCACTGATGCTCTGACCCTGAAATCCATTCGGTGCCCCCTTTCCACGGGCAGAAAGGGGTCCCTCCTGCTGAGGGTGGCAGTTCTCCCCAGCTGCCCCTCCTGGCTCTTGCCTTAGTGTCTCTTGTGTACATCCCCAATGCAGGAAAGCGGGTGTGTGTCGGAGAAGGCCTGGCTCGCATGGAGTTGTTTCTCCTCTTCACCGCCATTTTGCAGCACTTCAGCTTGAAGTCTCTTGTTGCGCCTGAGGACATTGACCTCAGCCCCATCGTCAACGGGTTTGCCAGTGTTCCACCCCATTACACACTCTGTGTCCTTCCCCGCTCGCAAGCGTGAGGCATGGGTGCTCTGGAGACAGTAGACTGGCACAAGGGAAGCCACTCTCTGCTGCTCATTGTGCGGGCAGACTGGGGAGGCCAAACCTTCCCATGCTGTACCCACTCTGGCCTTAACAGAGTAGGTCATGTTGAAAGCCAGCAGCTGCAACATCTCCCAGTCTCTCTCTGACCAGCCATCCTGCCTCCCTCTCATAGGGACCCTCCCAGATGACCCGGGACAGTTCCCCCATCTCAGGATCCTCATCACACGTTCCAAGGGCCCTTTGCCGAGTAAGGTACCACATTTGCAAGTTCTGGGATGAGAATAAGGATGCTATTGGGCCCACTGTTCTGCCATTTTGTCCACCACGGGGTGTGACCAAAACCTGAGTTTGACAAACTGGCAAATCATTCAACTGCAGAAGCCCTGCCACCCCTGCTCTGAAAGAGCCTGCCAGTCTCATCACACTGCAGAATAAACTCTTCCTGCAGCAGAAAGACTGGAAAATGCTGTCTCACTTACTTTGGGGATTTCAACTGGAGAGTATGCCTTAGGAAAATTCTTTTTTTTTTTAAATTTTTTTATTGATTATGCTGTTACAGTTGTTCTATTCCCCCTTTCATTCCCCTCCACCCTACCCCCCCATCCCCATCATTACCCCCCTTTAGTTTATGACCACGTCTCAAGTTCTTTAGATTCTATATTTCCCATACTATTCTTGCCCCCCATCTATTTTCTATCTACTGTCTATGCTACTTATTTTCTGTACCTTCTCCCCCCTTCTCCTCCTCCCACTCCCCTGTTGCTAACTCTCCTTGAGATCTTCATTTCTATGTTTCCACTCCTGATCTAGCTGTCCTGTTAGTTTGCTTTCGTTTTAGGTGTGGTTGTTAATAACTGTGAGTTTGTTGTCCTTTCACTGTTCATGTTTTTTTAACTTCTTTTTCTTAGGTAAGTCCCTTTAACATTTCATATAATAAGGGCTTGGTGATGATGAACTCCTTGAATTTGATCTTATCTGAGAAGCACCTTATCTGTCCTTCCATTCTAAATGAAAGTTTTGCTGGATAGAGCAATCTTGGTTGTAGGTCTTTGGATTTCATGACTTGGAATACCTCTTTCCAGCCCCTTCTTGCCTGTAAGGTCTCTTTTGAGAAATCTGCTGACAGTCTGATGGGAACTCCTTTGTAGGTGACTGTCCCCTTAGCTCTTGCTGCTTCTAGGATTCTCTCCTTCATTTTAATTTTGGCTAATGTAATTATGATGTGCCTTGGTGTGTTTCTTCTTGGGTCCAACTTCTTTGCTACTCTCTGAGCTTCCTGGATTTCCTGAAAGTCTATTTCCTTTGCCAGATTGGGGAAATTCTCCTTTATTATTTCTTCAAATAAGTTTTCCACTGGTGGCTGTGCCTTTCCCCCTTCTGGTACCCCTATAATTCGGATGTTGGAATGTTTAAAGATGTCCTGGAGGTTCCTAAGACTCTCCTCATTTCTTTGAATTCTTGCTTCTTGATTCTTTTCTGTTTGGCCATTATTTGCTTTCTTCTGGTCCACTCCATTGATTTGAGTCCCAGTTTCCTTTTCATTGCTATTGGTGTCCTGTGCAATTGCATTCATTTCAATTAGTTTCACCTTCATATGTTTGTCTAATTTGTGGCTATAATCAACCAGTTCTGTGAGGATCCTGATCACCAGTGTTTTAAATTGTGTGTCTGAGAGTTTTGCTATTTCTTCATCGCTTAGATTTATAGGCTCTGGGGCTTTGAGATCTTCTTGAGCCATTTTTGGTCTGTTCGTGCCCTTTAAGTATGAGAAGCGGCGCCTTGGACTTCCAGGTTGCTGGGTTGTGACGCTGTATGTGGGGGTGTGGTCAGAACGGGGAAATGGCGGCCCCCTCTGCTGTTTCTCCCAGCTGGGTGAGGAGCAGAGGCTTAGGTGGTTCACCTGGGCTGGGCCACTCAGAGTCGCTGGGTTATAACGCTGTATGTGGAGGTGGGGTCAGAGCAGAAAAATGGCGGTGCCCTCCACTGCCGCTTGCCGGGGGGACCCGCCCGGCCCCGGTCCAACTGCCCACTCCCTCGCCTGTCCACCTGCGCACAAATGCACGACCACAGTCAACACGCAGCCCCGCTGCCCCCCCCCCCCGCGGTCGCTTGCTGTCGCTCTTCTGGTCGCTCGCTGTCGCTCACTAGGTCCAACCCTGCGCCTGGATTCCGCCTCTGGATTCCGTGCGCCTGAGTCCATCTGACCGAGTCCTCCTGTGCAACCCCGCTTCACCAGCCGCTGGTTTCGCCCCTTACCGGTCAGGCTGAAGAATTTGTTGTTAATGGACTTCTAAAAAGTTCAATTTTCCGTGTTCTGGCTGTGTTTTCTGTTGCTAATATTTAGTTGTCTCTAAACTTGGTTGTGTGAGAAGGCACGGCACATCCACCTATGCCTCCATCTTGGTGGAAGTCCCTTAGGAAAATTCTGAAGTGCTGCTCCAAATGGTGGGAACAGTTGGGAGGGAGAGTGGGGGCCCTTTGAGTATAAATGTGCGATCGACCCAGGCAGGGGCATTTGGCTGAAGAATACAGGCCGACTCCGGTATGTTCACAGCGCTGGCTAGCTCTCTGGCCTCTTTGTACAAGGGCAGCAGTCCCATTCATAGGGGCTCCACCCTCAGGACCTCCTCCACCCTCAGTGGCCCCACCTCTTAATGCAGTCATGTTGGGATTAGGGTTTCAACATGCCCCTAACCCCAAGAATAGATGTCCTTACGTGCAAAACACATTCACCTCGTCCCAACAACAGCCCCAAGTCTCAATCTGTTGCACGTTCACTCTGAAGCCCAAAGTCTTGTCTCAATACCACTTACATGAAGCACGGCGAGAATCAGGGCACAACTCGCCCTCAGGCAGCCAACACGTGGCTGTGGGCTGTGTTGCTGGTGACCTTTGAATGTTGGGTTTTTGCATCTTTCACACTTACACACCCATGCTATATTCATGTATACTTACACAGACCTAAAACATGTTCATTGAACTTGCAAAGCATTCACGTGTCACTGTGGGCAGAAACGGCACCGTTACCATCAGTTCCCAGCTCACAAACACGACCTACCTCCACTTATGTGGGGCTGTTTGGGGGATTGTGCACACCTGTCATTACATTAATTCCAAGATGCATGGTGTTTTATGCTACTGTAAATACAGTTTTAAAAATTCCATTTTGCCACTTGCTACTGAATCCCAGCATGCCTGTAAGCAGCTGAGTTGTCTTGCTGGAGCAAGGCGTGCAGCTGCCCCACACAGACCTGATCCAGCCAGGCACGACACGTGCTGAACACTAGTGTGAGCTGAGTTCAGGTGTCCCCCGCACGTCTCATCACTGTTTACTGAGGAGAGAGAAATGCAGGACTGACCAGGCTCTCAGCTGGTCCTGGTGCGTGCCCAGGAGGGCTGTTCTGCAGCAAGAACCCGGCTCCCTGGTTCTAAGGTGTCCTGTGCACACGTGCATGGGTGGCTCCTGACATGAAGTGCGGCTGCAGACCTCGCAGACAGGAAGCATACCCTTATCTGATGCTCACCCTTACCTGAAAGCTATTGCGATACTGTGCCATTCTCTTGCAATAAACTGTAGACACCTCAGCATTGTTATTTTGGGTCTTGTGCCCTGATATATGCACATCAATTAGATTTTTTTAAATACTGACCTCTACTTAGCAAACCTTTGTATTCATTCAGCCATTCTGGAATACATCTGTAGACTCATCTCTGAAGCACATTAGCAGTTCTTCTGCTCTTGGTTTCCTGCTTCACCGTCTGGAACTTCAGTAGGCGGAGTGATTGAACACACCTGACATGCCTTAGACATGTCACCAGGAAGTATCAATGAAGTTACCTTCTATCTCTGGCTTTCTGAGTTTGTTTTTTCACATAAATAGGTGTTGCATTTGTCAAAGGCCTTTTATTCACCAATTGAGCTAATTATTTTTATTTATTTATTTATTTATTTATTTATTTATTTTTAAATTGATTATGCTGTTACAGTTGTTCTATTCCCCCCTTCATTCCCCTCCACCCTGCCCCCCATTACCCCCCTTTAGTTTATGTCCATGTGTCTCAAGTCCTTTAGGTTCTATATTTCCCATGCTATTCTTGCCCCCCCATCTATTTTCTATCTACTGTCTATGCTACTTATTTTCTGTACCTTCTCCCCCCCTTCTCCTCCTCCCACTCCCCTGTTGCTAACCCTCCTTGAGATCTTCATTTCTATGTTTCCACTCCTGATCTAGCTGTCCTTTAAGTTTGCTTTCGTTTTAGGTGTGGTTGTTAATAACTGTGAGCTTGTTGTCCATTCACTGTTCATGTTTCTTTAACTTCTTTTTCTTAGATAAGTCCCTTTAACATTTCATATAATAAGGGCTTGGTGATGATGAACTCCTTGAATTTGATCTTATCTGAGAAGCACCTTATCTGTCCTTCCATTCTAAATGAAAGTTTTGCTGGATAGAGCAATCTTGGTTGTAGGTCTTTAGATTTCATGACTTGGAATATTTCTTTCCAGCCCCTTCTTGCCTGTAAGGTCTCTTTTGAGAAATCTGCTGACAGTCTGATGGGGACTCCTTTGTAGGTGATTGTCCCCTTAGCTCTTGCTGCTTCTAGGATTCTCTCCTTCATTTTAATTTTGGCTAATGTAATTATGATGTGCCTTGGTGTGTTTCCTCTTGAGTCCAACTTTTTTGGTACTCTCTGAGCTTCTTGGATTTCTTGGAAGTCTATTTCCTTTGCCAGATTGGGGAAATTTTCTTTTATTATTTGTTCAAATAAGTTTTCCACTGGTGGCTGTGCCTTTCCCCCATCTGGTACCCCTATAATTCAGATATTGGAGTGTTTAAAGATGTCCTGGAGGTTCCTAAGACTCTCCTCATTTCTTTGAATTCTTTCTCCTTGACTCTTTTCTGTTTGGCCATTATTTGCTTTCTTCTGGTCCACTCCATTGATTTGAGTCCCAGTTTCCTTTTCATCGCTATTGGTTTCCTGTGGAATTCCATTAATTTCCATTAGTTTAATCTTCATATGTTTCTCTAATTTGTGGCTATAATCAACCAGATCTGTGAGGATCCTGATGACCAGTGTTTTAAACTGTGGGTCTGAGAGTTTTGCTATTTCTTCGTCGCTTAGATTTATTTCTGGGGCTTTGAGGTCTTCTTGCGACATTTTTGGTCTGTTCTGGCCCTTTAAGTGTGAGAAGCGGCGCCTTGGACTCCCAGGTCGCTGGGTTGTGACGCTGTATGTGGAGGCGTGGTCAGAGTGGGGAAATGGCGGCGCCCTCTACTGCCGTGGCCGGTCCAAGCGCCCACTCCCTCGCCTGTCCGCTCGCGGGCAAATAGGCGACCGCAGTCAACACGCAGCACCGCCTCCCCACTGTCTCCTCTGCAGTCGCTCACCTGGTGGGTTGCTCGGTCGCTCACTAGGTCCAATCCTGCGTTTGGAACCCGTGCGTCTGGATTCGCGCATCTGGATTCCGCGCCTGGGTCCGTCCGACCGAGTCCTCCTGTGCAA